CCGATTGAGCGAACTGTACATTACAAACTAGATGACCCGGCGAACTTTGTACCCCATAAAAGTTAAAAAAAACCAAATCAACCGGCCACTTTTATAAGCCTTTTAAAAACAATCACAGACAACATAAAACCGCTGAAAATGACTTTCAATTACATTACCTGTCAAATGTTTAATCAGCTGTTTCTAAAATATATTAAATTAATCTATGCATATGGTCAAAAACCATCATATTTTTTTTCATACGCATAACATACATATGTGGGGCATAGCCCTAAATTTAAAAACTGAACTGAAGATACATGTGTTAATCGGTTTAAGACGAATCCAACAAATCATCTATATATTAATTTGAAACTGTTTTTCTTTGTGACAGCTATTTTGAGAGAACGGCTGGTCGTAGAAACTCGGTAGAGGTGTCTAAAGAAAGGTCCTGGTCTGTAGATGAGCCATCAAAAGAGAAACATGGAGAATTCCCTCGGGGCTCTGCCCCAGTGGCCTTTAAATTCCCATCCCATGTTATTCTTATGGAGGAAAACGAGGTTTTTGTCACAGCTAATTTGAGAGAACGGCTGGGCGTAGAAACTTGGTATGGGTCTCTAAAGAAAGGTATTGGTCTGTAGGTGAGCCCTCAAAAGAGAAACGATGTAATTTTTTTGGGGCTCTGCCCCAGAGGCCTTTAAAGTTCACTCTGCAATTTTGTTTACATTTCGACCATATGCATAATTTTACACTACTTTTAATGAACCAGCTGTTAATATTAAAATTGTATTCAAAGGTCTACTGAAACTGTCAAAATTAAATGTTTACATTATTATTTATGATTTTAAATGGATTCTCCACTGCATGGCAAGTTTTTTATAGTTTCAACAAAATGATGAATTTATGATATGTTTGAAATGTTTTGTTCAAAAATCTATGCTGTAGTGCTCTTAGAAAATTTTAAATTATGAAATAAGTGTGACTTATCAATTTCAAAGGAACATATCTATATATTAATTTGAAACTGTTTTTCTTTGTGACAGCTATTTTGAGAGAACGGCTGGGCGTAGAAACTCGGTAGAGGTGTCTAAAGAAAGGTCCTGGTCTGTAGATGAGCCATCAAAAGAGAAACATGGATAATTCCCTCGGGGCTCTGCCCCAGTGGCCTTTAAATTCCCATCCCATGTTATTATTATGGAGGAAAACGAGGTTTTTGTCACAGCTAATTTGAGAGAACGGCTGGGCGTAGAAACTTGGTATGGGTGTCTAAAGAAAGGTATTGGTCTGTAGGTGAGCCCTCAAAAGAGAAACGATGTAAATTTGCTTGGGGCTCTGCCCCAGAGGCCTTTAAAGTTCACTCTGCAATTTTGTTTACATTTCGACCATATGGATAATTTTACACTACTTTTAATGAACCAGCTGTTAATATTAAAATTGTATTCAAAGGTCTACTGAAACTGTCAAAATTAAATGTTTACATTATTATTTATGATTTTAAATGGATTCTCCACTGCATGGCAAGTTTTTTATAGTTTCAACAAAATGATGAATTTATGATATGTTTGAAATGTTTTGTTCAAAAATCTATGCTTTAGTGTTCTTAGAAAATTTTAAATTATGAAATAAGTGTGACTTATCAATTTCAAAGGAACATATAACTATTCCTTATCGGGTTAGCTTATACATATTGTAAGGTTGGCACTTGCCTTTTTTTCCTACTTTCAATCACCATTTATTTTTAAATTCAAGAAAGAACACCTGAGATTCATTTATTGGTATAACAGTTTTTGATAATCGGGTTGAAAATTGTGTCATAGATGAGTACGTTGAGGATGAGAGCAGTGTACAAGTTTTGGAATAGACTAACTACGGAGTATATGGTTTTGGTAAAGTAGGTGAACTAATGTCAATTCAGGTAGGCTATTTAAAAAATGTGTACATAGTAGTTACTTTGATGTACACACGTAGCTAGGTTGAACAACGCATCTAAACCTCACTACATACAAAACATTCGGAAACACAACAGTGTCATCACATCTCATCGCATTTGCATAATTTGTTACCAATGCTGGACTAGGTTATGGATTTGGTTCCGCAAATGTTCAAGATTTGTGATAAAATTTCCTACAATTATGGTTCATTCCCATCCACGAAATACATGCACAGTTTTATGTGATCTATATGGCCAAGGCAAAACCACCCCATAAGTTAATGAATTATCAAGTAAGAACAGGATGATTAAATACATAGGTCGATGTGGCAAGAGAAGGATTTAAAATTGCTGAGATTGAAGTAAAAATGTTACTGCTTTCTGGAGAATCAGATATTTTTATAAAAAAAGATGAAGATTTACTTATAAATCCGGATACAATCTGAATGATTTTCCTAAAGCATGGAATTAGTGGTTAGTAGGTAATAAATATTGACTCTTTCCGTAACATGATAGACTAATTATATGAACTCATTCTCCCATATAGTGAAAGTGGCTTTGGTATGAAACAAACTCATGAAGAAACAATTATAATACTCCTAAAAAACCTTTTGGGCAACCTAAAGCCGATAAAAAGAAAGGTAGGAAATATTGTGTTAAACGAATTCATCAATCACGTTTTTTAGGGAACACAATCGTCATACTTATTATTTGCTTATCCTCCCTTCATATAACTAAGATTTTAATGACTTCACTCTATCCAACGCAGATAGCTGAATTTACATAAAACCTCAAGATTAACCATCGATTTCGACGGGGTTCCACTAGTAAATCATTAAAAAGATCCAGCCGGTCTCGAGTTACAAACTGCTTAACTAACACGACATCATGGCATGTAGCCTATATCTAGATGCATACTAAGAAAGTGTTTAAAAGTACAGTACAGTATTTTCTCTCAAAGTCCTGATATGAGGCAGAAAATCCATCATAGCGAGCACTTTCAATTTCCATAGCTATATATATCTTAATCCACGTAAATTTCACGCCTAAATAACCCCATTTCAGAAGATTTGCATTTTCAGTGTAACCATACCTTGAGTTATACATTACCTGATTTTAGAGTTTTGGTCCAAGAAGGAAGTATCGGTAATTATTTTATAGGGCAAGCCTACTTGCGTGCAACCGCATCTTGTTTACAATAAGGTAAATTAAGTAATAAATTACAGCATCTCAAATATTTCACAATTTATCACTCCATAATGCATAAAAAATATCATTTCATTGAAATAATATTAGTTAACTGAATGATAAATTGTCATATCTTTGACAAGCTGTAACTTCTGAATGAAAAAATCTTTTTTAACCAGGTTAACGCACACCCAACTTCCGAAAAATGACTGCAAGGTTTCATTCAATTGTGCCAAATACTTTAGTAGGTATCAGACGTTTTCCAAATTATAAACTTGAGTTTAATGGCATAATATTAAAAGCCTTGAGGAACTGTAACTTTGATTAGATGGACCATTTACGAAGCGGTTTGTGCTGTTAAAGTTAATCTTATTATCAATGTGTATGCATTAATTGACATTAATTGCATCAAGTATTGACACGGTTCTGTTTTCAAACATCAGACTAGTAAGTAAAACGAACAGGTGGGCCTATTGAGGGCAGCGGTGCCAATCTGTCGTATACTGCTACGACTGATTGGCACCTCTGCGGCCGCCGTCAGCTTGTCACCACGACAGATTGGCACCACTCATTTCTCGAGGTTCCAATCTGTCGTGTACTGTTACGACTGATTGGCACCTCTGCGGCAGCCGTCAGCTTGGCACCACGACAGATTGGCACCACCCCTTTCTCCAGGTTCCAATCTGTCGTGTACTGTTACGACTGATTGGCACCTCTAGGAGCGGTGCCAATCTGTCGTGGTGCCAATCTGACGCGGTGCCAATTAGACGCGTACCCAAAAAAAAACATAGGAATGATATAATTAATCGGATAGGCCTAGTTAACTTATCAATAGATAGGCTAACGTTATTCATCCGATAATATATCACAGGTTCTCTGCAGAACTGTAGGTAGCCTACCCGTTTAGTCTAGTTGAACAAAGCTTGTTCTCATGTCTTCGGTACCGGTAGCTTACCGCACCTTTTTGTGGCCTCATAATTAAAGTATCAAGACGGGGATTAATTATAAAAATTATGAACCATGTTTGCTTTGCCTCAGTTTTAGGAAAATAAAGCATACTAATTCCAGGATTACAGTTGGCTGATTGAATGGTTTTATTGAATAAATTACCATCCTCTTATATTGAAAACCAACCAACATCCTAATGGCTTTGCACCATTAAAACATCAATGTTATTTATTTTGGTGAGGTGGAAAGCAAAAGTCTACTAGATAAAAGAAATCTTAACTGTAATTAAGTTTTAAGTTACTATTGGGTGGTAAACGTAGGTTTATTACAACTTACAATCGAAACCGATGAATGAGCGACAGTAGGTTTATGGCTCTTAGCTATCTTGAAAAAAGTTCATGCCAGCTACATCTTTCGTAAAACTAATGTTATTTATATAGGGAATAGATCTGACAAAGTAGATACAGTATTTTAGTCAAAATATTATCTGGAAAATGGAAATTCGCTTAGTCTGCAGGTTTGCTTTGGTGGGGGGGTACCGGTACTTAAGGTGTTGGAAATGCTATCGTACAGTTTTTCTACACTCCCAGTCAGGAGCTAAATGTTATAACTTATGAGAATTGTGACTCTCCCACAGAAAACACTGTAAACAACCATGTTAGGCTTTGGCCCACGACTATAATTTGTGACGGATTATAGTTTAAGCATAACCTAAATCATATATTAAATGATCATAAGGTTTTTAACGTTTGACGTCTATGGAATTATGACAAAACAATCAATTTTATTTGTTCTCAAAGCAATTATTTTTCTCCTGAAATCTGCCCAAAGTAAGCTTGAAGTATTTTTATGAGTACCGGTATGGTAATGCTTTTTTAAAACACAGTTTGGCCTGTCAGTTTGCTTTAAAATTTGTTCTTGTATGAATCAGATGTGATTCCAGTTTTTATTTCAGATCTGTACCAGATTACAATGGCATATGCCTATTGGAAATCAGGAAAAACAGGAGATACTGCAGTCTTTGATCTTTTTTTTCGCCAAAATCCATTCCAAGGAGAGTTTACAATATTTGCTGGTCTCGACGAGTGCCTCAAATTCCTCCAGAACTTCCACTATTCCAACAGTGGTGAGTGACGAGTGTACTACATAATTATTTACAACCAACACCCATTTTTTTTTTAGTGTTTATATTTAGTGCATGACCACACTAGGCTATTCTTTTTGTAGCATTAACTAAGTAAACGTACCTACCTGCCCTCCTATTTCAGAGTTGTATCCTTGACTTTAGAATAGGCCTACTGAAGTAGCTAATTTTTTATTTAAGTAGAACCATAGATAAAACATACTCCCTTAGTAGATTTCTCATCCTTATTGGACAGCTGAGGCCAAACTTGTTGTTAGTTCTATCCGGTGCACTGAGGAGGCCGTGTTTTGTTTACAATTAGTTTCTTCTTATTTCAGTAATTTAAAACCTCGTTTTACCAAATAAAACAATCTAATCATAAACAAAAGGCCTAACCTGTCCCCTAGTTATATAACCAAACATTAAAGCACAGCATTAATTAACCCTAAAACAACAGAAACAACTTTTCGCTGACACTAGGGCCTAGCGATCAGTGTCACCGGACTAGACACGAAAACTAAACAAGAAAAACGAGCTTCAAAATTTACAATGGGATGAGAAGTCTACTTGTGAGTTGATTAGTCTATAGTAGAACATAGGTAGTTTTGTAATGAGCACTTAAGAGAACATGTACTGCCAACATTTTATTTTCTTTCTTTTTTTTATCTATACAGTGTGTAAATTAAGTCTTGAAACAAATCTGTATTTTTAAAACCGAAATAGCCTAGATAGAAATATTCTGTTTGTAGCATTGATTCTTAACAAAGGTTCTGCAATTTTTACACCAAAAAAATTTTAGAACACCCCCTAACAGGGTATGGGGTAGGGGGTGATCTATTTTTTTCCTATTGACCCCTCATTTTGAAGGGCTCGTCAAAAGAAACACAATGACACAAACCCGAGGTGAATATCTCACCCCTAGCCAAAAGATGGGATATCCACCTCGGGTTTGTGTCATTGTGTTTCTTTTGACAAATCCTTCAGGAGTCAAAAAAGGAGGTCAAAACGAGGAGTCAATCAATAGGGGTTGCTATTTGAAAAAAATAAGTCATCCCCTACCCCCAGGGGGGTTGAAAAATATGATTGATGTAAAAAATTATGGAATCCTTTGTCAAAGCCTCAAACAGAATATTTCTATCTTTTTCGGTTTAAAAAATACAGATTTGTTTTCAAGACTTAATTTACACACCGTATTTCATCATTTAAATGACATGAAAGATGTCACAGCAGTCTACAGTAAGTGTTTCAGTTTGGTTTCTTTATAATTTGACGTTTCAACGGAAATCTTCAATTGGCATCAACACACGCTGTTGGTGGTACGGTAGCTTAATAAAATTACATTAACCCTCCGAGGGTCACGCGTCAAAAAATAGACGCACAACACACTTTGTGTAGGGTCACGCGTCTAGTTTAAGACGCACAAACATCGTTTACGGCGAAGGCTCTATGACTGACTGAATCGGATTGAACTGGATCGAGTTAGGTATCGTTCTTTTCATTAGATTCTAAGCTTTCTAAAGGTCTGTCTCTAAGCGCTGTTTGTTCTCTGAGCCGATCGTAATTGTTAGCAGACAGCTGACCTGCATATTAGTAAACAGGTTACTTAACCTCGGACCGATGACTGATGTGTTTTATTATGTTTATCATTGTTTTAGCGTTAAAAATCAAAAGTAGTGATATACGTGGTGCATTATAAGAAGATTTAAGTGGTTTTGAAGTGCTGGTTGATGATCCTGAAGAAGTAGGTAGTGATATTGATGTAAATTATCAGCCAGATTCCTAGCTATGGTTAGGCTATGCATTCTTAGCTAAACGCTATGTACTGAAATCCGTTTTTCGCTCATAACTTATTTATTTGATAACTTACCTCGCTATATGATTATATATTTGTAATCCTCATTAAATTTAGAACAAAGTGGCTATTTTCAAATATTTATAGGCCTATAATTTATACAATTTCATTGAGCGCGAACTTATTTTTTTTTTGAAAATTTTCCAAATTATATTTTTTTTTACCTAAAAATTTTTTTTTGAAAAAATGTTCCTTATGTTTTATATATAATATTGAAGCCCATGATTTTCCAAACAAAATGGTATATAGAACATTAGAATTAACATTGTTTTAAGCTTCTCAGATCCGTTTTAATAAAACCTTGCAAAGGGGCCAAAAATAGGTGGACATTAAGGCCTAAACTATGGACCTTTGGAGGGTTATTTTTAATAGGCCTACTTCGACATGGGAATGTAATGTCTACCTAATTCTATCAATAGCCTAGGCAACAATAGTTAAAAGCTTTAGTGTGCTGCATTTTAGCGAATTTCCCATATATGGGGAATAAGCTATTACCAGGGCCGTACCTAGATGCTATTTGCTTGTTTGCATTGTTTGGATGTTAAATGTTGATCATAAAACAAAACTTACAAGAATACAAGTCAAAGACAAGAGTAGCTAAATTATATCTATTTTGATAGCAAACTATCCTTCTTATCAACTACTTATCACACTTATCAGACAAGAGTAGATGTAGATATTTTCTGTCATTGAGATAGTCCATTGCTTGGATGAGTCATTGTTATCATCCTAATACAAAACATTCCATTGCAAGTTCCCAGTTATGTAAATAACTTATAAGTTAAGCTTCTGTCACTCAATTGTCTGGTTTCCTTATACAACTCTTTCACTAGAAACTAACTCCTCTAGTTAACTAGCCTTTTCCAAAATTTACATTTTTATTCCATGTATTTTTACTATTGTACCAATAAATATAAATAGTGATGTGTCGGTACCAAAATTGATCGATTCTCTATTCTCTATACCTATACCATTTAAAAAAATTGATTTACTAAATTTTGCATCGTGTTCTGTTCACAAAAATCAGCTTAGCGTATTATATATATAGATAGATTATAAAATTGCTTACAATTCTTGTAGGCCTACTCGGGAAGTAAAATATAGTGTGCCCCAAGGATCTATCCTAGGCCCTCTTTTATTCATCTTTTATTTGAGAAATTTCCGCAACTCAGTGATTTTAGCAAGCTTTGCTTGAATATGCTGATGGTGCAAATAAAAAAATACCCCCGCCGCAGCAAACCTGCCAACTAAGCGAATTTCCATTCGTCTGAATTGATTTTTAATTATATCTACTTAATTAAATTACAGACTTAATGAATTACAACTTATTGGAGTCTATAACAATTACTTAACTAGAAGTAGAAATAGAGAAAACCTGGCCACAAGCTCACATACTCTGCATTTTTTCACAAAGACACCTAAATATGCCGGTTCCAATTTTTCAATAAACTTCCTAAAGAAATCAAATTTGAAACTTCAAAAATAAATTTAGATCAAAACTTTAAAAAAATTCTTATCAACAAGGCTATGTACTACTTTGAAGTGTTTTAGTTCTATATTGCTTTATTTTATATAAATTGAAACTTTTGGTTTTAAAATAATTTGATTTATTATTTTAATTTGGATCTTTAATGTATAATTTTTATATTTTATATGTTTTACTTTATTTGAGCTGAGAAGCTATTGATATTGATGGTATGCTACTTCATGTATGATAATGATGAGTATTTTAGTTAAGTTAGTTTTATTCAATCACTGTTGACGTCATTCCTGTATTGATCATGTACTGAAAAGAATAAAGTTATATGAAATGAAAGGAAATTATCGTCTTCCGCGATTGCAGCAAACTCCTGAACATCTCTCGCAGCCGTGTATACATCATTGACTTCCGTGGTCACGGAATACACAGAAACTTCATCTTCATCCGCAATTGCGGCAAAAAATTAAAATCTCCAGTGGTCACAGAAATGTTATCGTCGTCGTCCTCGATCGCGGCAAAATCATAAATATTTCCTGCGGCCGTGTAGACGTCAATGTCGTCTTGCGCGGTCACAGAAATGTCATTGTCATCGACCGCACTCGCGGCAAAATCGTGAATTTCTCCCGTGGCAGTGTAGACATCATCGTCGTCTTCCGCAATCACGGCAGAATCATGAACATCTCCCGCGACCATGTAGGCGTCATCATCAAGTCTCTTGTGGTCACGGAAATGTCATTGTCGTCTTGGGTGTTCGTGGCAATAGCAGTAATTTTCCGATATCCCGAGTGTGACGGGTATCCGTATCGGAATCGACTTTTGACGATCGACTCTTGATACCCATACCAACGGCCAAGTATCGGTGGTATCGAGAATCGACACACCCCTCAATATAAACTTTACTTTTAAAACATAAACACTAACAATTTACATAAAAATTTAATTTACCTTCTAATTAACCTGTCAATGACCTTACTTTTATCATGAATTTGCAAGATGTAACATATTTTTTTTATTTTGCAGACATTGCCTACCTAAAGGCGACTTTGCCACCGTCAATAGAAGAAGACTTTTTTGTGTTTCTACAACGACTTAACGTCAATGATGTCACCGTTTACGCCATCGAGGAGGGATCTGTTGCCTTTCCCAAGTGTGTAGAATTAAGAATCCATACAAACAATACATCATGGTTCCTATTTTCTCATTGTCAAAAAATAAAATCCATCAAATGATTATGGGGAGAACAAAAAATTGCAATTTCAAAAGTTTTGCTTGCTTTAGTTTGACTCATTGTACAGTAGTTTGAATAACGTACTGTGAATTTTATTTGGGACATCTCCATTTTTCAGTGTCTTTTTTGCCAAAAAAAGGTAAAAAACTATAAAAGTGCCAGAATAGATGTAAATATAAAAGTTATTTGTCATGTCCTTAAATTTAAGTCACTATGTATTTATTTTCACCCAAAAGACTTAAGGAAAAGATTTTGTATCAAAGCTTACATCATTCTGTTATTTAATAACTTTTAGAAGTATCGCTTTCACCCTTCTTTTTTAGAGTCAGTTTACTATAAACCATTTAAATCCAGGAGCTTATAAATACATAAAAAAGGTCACACAAAATAAAACTGATATTTTATACTCAGAATTTTATAAAAAATCAAGTATATTTCTCATCAATCTCCTTTACCAGGATGAAATATCAGTGTTATTCTGTAACTTTTTTGCATCTATCCCCCTGGACTTTTCATTCTCAGGAAAGCTAATTCTTTCACATAAAATCGCCTTTACATGGCTTTCCTTAAACAACTTAACAGCTTCATGTTCAACAGGGATGTCTGTACACTATGCTACATATTGCATGAATCATACAATGATATGTATGTTGCAGGGTTCCACTAATGAGGGTGGAAGGTCCCCTGATCATAGTGCAGCTATTGGAGACGACACTGCTGACCCTTGTCAACTATGCCAGGTAAATTGCGATATTTGTCCTGAATAACCACATTTGAAGAAGTGGATTTGGCTGCGTTGTAAAAGTTTTTGAGTAGCCTAATTTTTGTTTTCATGTTAGCCATAGAGGAAATAAGATTCTCTGACGGGTTTAAGGGAAAGTAATCACAACCCCTTCAAGCAATCAGAATTCGATGGTTCTGAATGCTGGGGATTGAACCTATCACTCTAGCACTGAAGACAGAGACACTAACAAATAGGCTAACAATAAAATCCTTCGTAGCTTGACCTAACCAATTTGATCAGATACAGCTAGTTGTAAATTATTCAACTGCAGTCATGATAATATAATGGTATTTAGTATAAGTTTTATAATGGAGCTAGTGAAGTTGTAGAGCATGGGCTCTTTGGTCCCCGAGGTCCCGCTAATCGTCAATTTAATTTTCCAAATTACATTGCCGTCAACCCTCTGAGACCTAGCCTGAAGTAATGTGTAAAACCGTTCTGAGGTAAAGCCTATGTCCAAGGATGTGGTGATGGGACATAAAAAAGGTATAGGATTTTCACTAAAGTAAAGATATAGGACCTTTACTGTCTTAACTAAGATTTTAAGAATTAATAATGATTGTTTTGAGTCTTTATTTTATCAAGAATATGCTCTACTTTGCAAAAAAAATTCAGTTTGAAAATCACTGTAGGCTTATTAATACCTGCTTATGAAGTATGTTAAGTAAACAATTCAATAAGTCATCACACCCATATTGAAGGGAAATTTTGATCGTTACTTTGTGCACTTTTTGTACTTCTTCAAGTTGTACTGTAGGTACTAGTTTTTATCAATATAATCAAAAAAAGATTGATGCTCAAATTGTGAACAAGAAAACTTCCCAACCTTAACGTTGTTTACCACATATTGTTCCTAAGAGATAAAATACCACTTACCATATGCTGGTTGTTTTAGTCTGATGGCCACCAACGCTGCTCGCTATCGGATGGTCGCAGGCAAGAACGTGTCTCTCCTAGAGTTTGGTCTGCGGAGAGCACAAGGCCCCGACGGTGGTCTGTCTGCCTCCAAATACGCTTACGTCGGTGAGTTGTCTAACTAATCTAAAATTTTGTCAAGACTTGTTGTATAGAAGTAGACACTTGATTCCCATGCTAAAGCTGTGGCCAATTTTGGAATAAAAATGGATGTAGTTAAGTTCAACCACTGATAGAGTGTGCTTATGTCTAGTACTGATTTTTGTCAAATAAGACAACTAAATATATCAGTATTAGAGGCGTTCGGTTTGGATTTTGGAGCTTGAGACTTCTGTCTTGTAGCTTTGACTAAAGATAGAACTAGATGTTCTATTCCAATGTTTAACTTGTGGTCAGTTTTAGTAAAGAAATGTACCTAGTTGAACTGAGAGTGTTCTAACGTCACATATTGATTTCTTTTGAAAACACTTTTTAACTGAGCTAAACTGATAGGACAACTCATGTTAAAACATAGCAACTTTCACATAACATCAACAACTTCCAGTGGAAATATAATCTGTACCTGTGTACACTCTGAGTGGCACATTCAACTATGTTCTAACTACGGTTTGATTTGTTTTTAATTGAATCTGCCGATTCCTCTTTTAAGCTGCCAATATTTGTAGGCTTCAATTACCTCATTTATAGATCCAATGTATTTTGTGTCTCCAAAGTTAATAGATGCAACACCAAACATTAGGTTGTTTCATTAACAGTCTTGATAGTGATCTATTATGAGTGAGGGAAATAGGGCCAATTCTTGGAACAAAAGAACTTTTAAGTGAGTTTTGACAGATATATATGCACAAAAATTACGCTAATAACATTTAAATTTCAAAATATACATATAAAGTACAATACTAGACATAATCTTGTTAGCTTTGTCACAACTGATTGAAACCAACATCTTTATATTAAAAAAAAAAAAAAAAATAAGAGTACCGTAGTGCTGTAGTGATATTCCTATAAACCCTAATGCAAAACATGAAAATACAAAAAGAAAGGTTTGAGAAAACTAAAAAGCAACGGCTTTAGTTTTCAGATTATTCACAATTTTTGTAGTATTGGTATTATAAACATATAAATGTCATAGCCTTTATCTTGATTAGAAAGTTTTTACTTAATGTATAGAATGTTGTAATACTTGAATATTGTTTGTATCATGAAATATTTTATACAAATTCTGGAGTATTACATCAGAAAAATCTGCTTATGCTATTATGATGTAAACTTGTTTAATGTTACGGTACATTCCTGTTTTGGTAGATAATTTGTCAGCTTTAACTTTTTATTTTTTCTTATGCAATCAAAGTAGAGTATTGAAAGTAGTATACCCATAATTTTGTATTAGTAAATTCCCATCTTTAAGAATATGAACAATAACATCAAGAGTTGCACATTGACAGAAACCGTTCTGACCTTAGTTAAGATAGACATGCAAATAAGTTAACATTGGCTAAAGTCTAGTTGTTGCAACATACAGTATCAATGCAGCTGCAAAGAAATAAAATGATATATATTTTGTAATCTGTACTAGAAAAATTAGAATTAAAACTAGGGATGGGTTGGTTGTCAAAGTCGGGCTTAGCATGGTAGTTAGACGGACAAAAGGTTTATCTGATGTTTACGGGTAATGATACTATAAAAACCCATTAGCAGTCCCAAACCCACTAGTATTATATCATGGCAATTATAATTTTGTCATACTCAAGGTCAAGTCAAGTACTTCCAAGAACTCATTGAGTCTATTAGTTCAACTCATAACAGTTTTATCACTTTAATTGTTACTCACTTTTATTCCTTTACGACTTCCATTATTTATTTATTACTAGGGTAATTATGAAATCCCAGACTCATTTTATAATTACAGTAAAATAATAGTTTTACGGTGGTTATTAAATTTCTTCTGATGACTCATACAGTATATTTGTCGTGAACATTTAAATTCGCTGGGCATTCATATTAAATTTCATTTATCTTCATAGAAAGCTTTATAGTAGGTATATCCATCTTATAGTAAATATATAATTAATTTTGAAACTGGCAAAATAAAAATAAATATAGTAAAAATTATTTTGCCGTAGTAAACAATGTAATGATGAATTTTCGCAGGTAATAAACATGTAACGAAAACCGGTCATTTCACAGTTGTAGCGAAATAGTATATTTATAGTATATAGTTGTAGCTTTGCTAAGCTAAATAGCTTTGCTAGTAGTTAAACATTTTATATTTCCATCACTAATTAATCCATAATAGCTTACTTGGTCCATTAACTTTTTTTAGAAACTGTGAAGACCATATAGTTTTACTTAACTAGGAGGAAAATACCAAATCATTTGAGCCATATATTCCCCAGACACTGATTATGGTTTCTAAGAGTTCATTTGAGTTTGTGAGGTCATCGAACAAATATTTTCATTTTAGTACTATCACATTTTATGACGTGATTTGAGGACACATCAATAAGTATTAGTGATTGATAAAGCTTTGCCTTGAACCTTACTGCATTTATCTTTGACGTAAATCAGTTTAATATTATCAACAACTTAATTTGCATCATCATGTTTCCATTCAATGTTAAAAAGAATTTAATCTCAATATATTTCTAGAGATAATTTTGCTTGATTAATTGTTTTTGATAAATCAGTTTTGTTATCTTAGGAAAAAATTTTTAACATTGAGTTTAAAAAGTAAAAGTAGGAAATTGTTTGGGTACCTATTAACTTGAATTGGTTTTAGTGAATTGAATTTAGTTTGTATACATTATACCAATGAATTAAACATAATAATAAATAAATAAATAATAAATTTTGTATTTCCTATTTTCATCTTGTCCTGGCTAATGAAACAGCTGATCTTAGTCAGTAACAAAGCTGCACAGATCATCTCAATACATTCTACATTCATCCTTCACTCATGGGTTAAAATACACACCTTGGTGGTGTCCCCATCTCTAAGATTCATAATTGATATAATTTAAAACTTTAAATTTTATTACCTTTGATACAGTTTGAAAATTAAAAAATTCAAACTGGTCTAAATTTTCATTAAAAGTTTGTAAGGTAATTTATAATCAGATGAATGTTTTCTGTTGTCAAACTTTCTGAATGTTGTTAAGTTTGTTAACGACCAAAACCCATTTAACTTGTTAAATATAGAATAAACAAGACAAATGTCAGGGATGCCCAAACTAGTCGGTTTGTACTCCGTCAGGGGACGTACAGCAAAGCGGAAATTTAAGATAATTCGGTGGCAGGCGGGAAGTTCCGTGCAGGCACGTCAGGTTTACGGTGCAGTAACGAGGCGCCAGGCACCACGTTAGCAGCTCACTAATGCACTATTGATTAGCAGACGGTACCAGGCACCGATGCGCCTTCCCCCCTCCCCCACTCTCATTTGATGCTGTTATTTCAGCACGGCAATGATACATTTGCATGTGGAAACTCAGTTTTTGGAAGAATAGACAGGCCTGAGTTTATTGTTATCATGTCTTTCTAAAGTATTTGGCCATGACCATCTTTCGCCAAACTTCCTTAACTCTGCAGTGGCACTGCGGAATCGTTTGTGTGTTTCGGCTTTTAGGAGGCTTTGTATTTGTTGGAACAAATTTTGTTTTGTCGGGTTTTAGTACACTTTTGGATCAAATACATTTCAAATATTTGTTTGTAGCCTACCACAATATAACCCAATTCTTAAAATAACTTAATTTTGTAAAGTTTTAATTTTTGAGATATTATTAATTTTTATGTATGTATCATATTTTAAGTTTTATTTATGAGCCTTCTAATATAAGAAATTGATCTTTTGGGTTTTCCTAACTTTAAAAAAAATAAAAGTAGCTCAATGGTACCTTAACTTTAAACTTCTGAAGCAGAAGTACAAATAAAGTTAAAACTATGAAAAAATGTTTCACAAATTTTTTTACAAAAAGTCATATTATTGCTTTATTTTTTGAAAACTAAGTTTATTCCAACATGGAGAAAAACATGGCCTAAGATGGCAACTAAATATTTGAACAATAAAAATACTTCAGGGAACTCTACAATAGGCTAAATAACGATAGTCCAAAATTCAATACCTATGGAAATTTAAAAAAAAGGTATTAGCTTAACTCATTTAATAAGAATGAGATTTCATTTACCAATTTATAATATTATATAGTTAATTCGTTCATTAATTAGCTAAGTCCTGTGGAGTCCGTGTTCTTGCCATGTAATCTTATAATGAATAAAATGGCTGATCATACTAATCTTACTAACTAGGTGAAACCCGTCAAAATCGACGGTTACTTTCAAGGCTTACGCTAATTCATCTAACTGCGATAAATTGAGTGACATTATACATATATTGAGCATTTAGCATTGTTTAAAGATTAATAAGTGTAAAAACAATAATGATATTAATTGCGTTAGTTACCAAATATGGTTGATCATTCAATGAATAAGGAAGTAGCTATTTTTAATACTAGCAGAGAACCCGTCCTTCGTACGGGGTTGGCATCAAGTATAATGATAGCTCACATTCCCGATTAACATATAGACATATTCTTATCTCAAAAATCCTTTCGGGCTCCACCCTAGTGGCTCTAGAGTTTCCCATGTTAACCTTATGAGTATTCATATTAAAAACTAGCTGGCCCGACAGACGTCGTCCTGTCCTAATGTGGTTTTATGTCAAATGCTGGTTTATTTTCAAGATGAGCTCGTTCGCATGGCTCAATCACGTCCTGGTTGAAGTTCGTTCGCTACGCTCACTCACCTTTAGGTTGGAGCTCGTTCGCTGGGCTCACTTGCCTTCAAGTCATCTCGTTTGCTACGCTAACAACAACAATGTCCTGTTGTTACAGGAACAAACAAACAAACATACATACATTGGATTTTATATATATATAGATGAATTAAAGAATTTTGCCAGCTGTTTCAACTACACAAGTTTGTTCTATGATATTCAATGGCATTAAAAGGGTTATAAGGTTTACCAACAGGGTGAAGCACTATTAATTCTTTTCGAATTTATGACAACAGGTAATTTGAACCAAGCAGCAACAAAAAGCTGTGAGAACTTTACTTTTTTCTATTGTTTAGGTGCAGTGGTACAACATTTTGGCTATGGTAGATGTGCTATAGTATAGTATACCATAAATTAAAATATACCATAAACCAAATTTTTTTTAAACGTGTCCTCTCCCATTGCAAACGCAAAGCACGAGTATAGCGGCAATAAGCATTTTATACTTATACGCCAACCCCCCGTACGAAGGACGGGTAGTCTGCTAGTTACAAATAAAGTTGTTTATTTTAGTCTTAAAATCCCTATTTCTAAGTAAAAGTAATCTTATGGCTTGTGGTAACTTGTTATATAATTTATTGCTTAAAATTGATGCCATTCATCAGTCTTAGTAAGCCTAACCTAAGGCAAATTTATTCTGCATGGCCTATGTATATTTAGTTTAAAAGTTACCCAATATTATGTTTTCAGTGTTAGTTTGGGTGCCGTAAAACGGGGTGACTTGAGCCCACTTTTGAACTTTGCTTGTTCATTAAAGTAAACCCATTAAGTATTTTTTTATAAATCTTTTACAGTAAACTTAGTCTTGGTCTATTCTACAAATGTGTGGAATAAGATTTTTTTAAAGTTAGTGTAACTATTAAAAAAAAAATAAAATATGGGTGGGCTCAAGTCACCTCGTTGGTCGGGGTGACTTGAACCCAGCTGATATATTTCAATGCTATTCTAATGCACTAGACCCACTGCACTGACCCATGAGGTGACTTGAACCCACATATGTAGCTGACTATTTTGATATTTTTTTAGATTAAAAATTCCTGTTTTTTTAGGTTTAATGACGGTAAGTGTAAAACAAAACACAAAGTTTTCGTCGAAACTGTAATAAATTTATAAAAAACTTACAGAAACATTTAAACAAATTTTACTTACCAAATATTGAAGATCTGAATATGATTAATCAGAAAAAGTCCACCAGCAATTTTTGAAAATATAAAAAAATAATTTTTTCTGTAAATGAAATGTTGCCAATATCTCGTTCTAGTTAATCCGAACCGATTCGTCACTCCGATATAGAAAACTCCACAATAGACATTTTGACAGTCATTAAAAGACTAACTAAATGTAAAAATAACAAATTGTTTTTTATCTACACACTATTTACACTAGTAAAAGCACTTGTTCTACTTTATGTCTTTGTCCATTAACCGCCACTTTTCCATTTCTGGAACGGCAAAAGATCCTCTGGCGGTAATGGGTGTGGGGGCTGCTATTTTTCCTTTAACTTCTGCTTTGCTGTACCAGCACTCGTCTACCTTTTCTGGCCATTTCCAATTACTAGGACCACTCATGGTCATTGTACTTATTTTAAAGTCTTCCCCTGCATTACCAGTACCGGTACCTATGTCCGTTATCATGCCAGGGAAAAACTTGCCTTCATACATCACCAAGACATAGCAGCCTTTTTCATAAGCACTAGTTTTTGTTTCACATTTTTCTTTTATCTTGGAAAAAATTTTCTTTCATTTTTCTTGCTACTTAATTTAGTTTCTATCTTCTTGCTACTTCCCTTTTCTGGTGCTTGCATTTCTAATATATCATCAAAATCTTCTTCTTCGAACTCACTATACTCTGAATATACACTCTCTGGTTCACTTTCACTGCTAGTATCTGAATCTTTGCTCACTGCTGCTTTTTTCTTTCTTTTTACTGGTGGTGATGTTAAAGTGCTGGTAGATGTTGAAGGCTGGTTACCATGTTGAACAAACGCTACCACTAAACACAGGTGGGCTCAAGTCACCCCAAAATCTGCCAAACTTGGTCATGATAAGGTAAACCCAGGTCATACTGACTTAAACCATTACGTAATCAAACATGCTTCAACATGTTTGTGTTGTAAAGGAAATAATGAAATGGGGAAAAATAGTTTTATTTTCATTTAAGTGCAAATACCCATTGTGCCGATAACCTTTTTTCAACGTAAAGAAATTCAGATTCGGACGTGTTAACATTATTATTTTTTATAATTATTAAAATGGACAGTTAAAATAATTGGAATTGTTTGTGGTGAAAGCTAATTAGGTAACCTTCAAATTGATATATAAAACCTTTTGATAAATCATTTAGGTTTTCTGAAACGAAAATTCAAAACTTTTTCTTGCGTTTTGGGCTCAAGTCACCCCACTGGGCTCAAGTCACCCCGTTTTACGGTGTTTTAAAAGTTTTGCTAGTGTTTTAAAGGACTAGGAAATTAAAAATATTTTTTCAAAAAATTTCCTTAAGAGTGGTTAATATAAGCCTACATTGGTATCGTCTACATTTTATTGACTCTTCTTCTTCCTCCTCGATAATCTTATCATCTGTAATCCTAACCTTTGGTTGTATGTAAACAATCTGTAATCCGTTTTTCAATATCCAGTGTTGTCAAAGTAAGAAACAACATGTAAGCTGATTATTATGAGAAATGTCAAAACATAATTCCATGGAGTTTTATCATTGACTTTTGATACGAAAGGAAACATGCTAGGACTTATCTGAGGCCCAACCATAACCAGTTTCTTACTTAAACAGCACACAGTTAAATCAGTCACTTATAGAGTATGCTATAATAGAAGTCACATTTCCTACAGTTTTTCCCACTATGATAGTTGATGGAGACATAAAATTTGCTATAGTATACAAAATGCTCTCTTTCAGTTTTGCATGATAAAATAAATAATGAAAAAAAACAACAACATAATTAAATGTAGAAAATTGGAATCTACGTTTAGTCCTTGATAGTAATGTTAGATTTTTTAAATCTTGAATAATATAACACTTCATGTTGTGCTTCAAATCAATATTTTTTGGAGAACTAAAAAGAAACCCATTTATAGTCATTAACACGTTCGCTGCTAACCGCTAGATGCCGTGACTGTGCCAGGAGCTGAATTAGCCATCGCCACTGCATAACATCGCCGCTGATACAATGAATTATAGTAAAAACAACAGTAGTTTAGTTATACTGGATAGCAATGTTCTGTAATAAAACTGGTTTTGGACATAGTACGAAGCGATTCTGATAGATAGCAGCACTACCCAGGTTGCAGTCGGTAAAGTAGTGTCGCTATCTAGCAGGAAAGAGGCGGAACAAAGCCCTGTTCAAAAGACCTTGGTGGTGTTTTGGGAAACTATATTTTTTATTGTCAGAAAAGTACGTTCCCGCTAGCTGCAAAGAAATATAGAACGTTGTGACGAGCTGGCTGATCCATGGAAACACTAAACAACAATGAACGGTGACATTCCGGAACGTTCCTAGCTCCTGATGCCGTGGTCCCGCTGATGTTCCGGAACATCCATAGCAGCAAACGTGTTAAATGTTATTGTTCAGTTAATATTCAATTGGTTGTTAGGATTATAGATAGAACTGCACCTGTTGTAGATTATATCTAAACTTGTGATTTTCCTACTGTGTTTTGTTTTTCAGTTTTGTAATATTTGTCTTTGACACAATTTTTGATTAGACATAGGCTACTACAAGAGTAGTTTTCTAGTTAAAAAGTAATTCCGAAATGCATCAGTAGACAGTATTACCACTTCAGTATTACAAATTTGCAGTCAGTATTGTGCATCTTGTCATCTTGTACATCTTGTCATGTAGCTGTAGAGCAGAGTTTCAAATATGAATAATCACAACCGCTGCGCTTTGATAGTTCTTTGTAATAGATTGTCTAGTCAACATATTTGATCCAAACTGAAACTCGTTGGTTTAGCCGCTTGGAGTGGCTTTGTAAATGGGGTATCTTCATCTTTTTAAGACAAATTAATTCAAGCACTTTGTACTGAAGGCATGTTTACAATTTAAATAATCCTTGGTGACTGAAAAAAACAAAACATAATATTTTAAAGGTTGTTAAGGGACATTTCCATTTCCAATCACGATAAGTTAGAAACAAAGTTTTCATGAAATTTTGGGATCTGTTAGCTGATTAAAAAGTGTTGTGAAATCTTTGTTTTGAACCTATTATATAAATCTTGCTTTACGCTAGTTGATCATTACAACATTGCCCAGGTGGTTTTGACGGCACCAGCAATGTCCTTGCTGGCAAGATGTACAACATCCCAGTTAAGGGGACTCACGCTCATGCTTACATCACTTCATTCTCGGACATCGGTGATCTTCAGCACAAGGTACATCAACATTAATGGTTCTCAATCAGTTTAGTTTAGCAAACATTATTTAAAGTATGCCTCATTGTAGTTTTTGTTTCATTCTGAGTTCAAATCAAATCAAGTTATTTATTTTATGGAATATAAATATGCTGTTACATTAATTCTTTTACAATTTTGAAAGAGTAGTAAAGCTTAAACAAATATTAGTAAAGTAAACCTCTCTTGTTCAGATTAGTATGTTGGGACTTAGGATGGTTCAAACAACCATTTCTGTTAAAATTTTTACTCCCAAATTGACGTGAACAAAGTGATCCCAACCCATTTTTATGGTTGTATGAAACATAGATAATATTGCTGTATTATTTATTTTATTTTCAATATGTATCCTTTATTCACATAAAAGTCCAGTATAGATTTGAACTGTGTCATTAATGTTACATACATTTTTTAATATAAAAATTACTTATTTTTATTCAACCACTTCTTATAACTCAACCCATAGTTCATGAATTTTTAATCCTCTTTTTATTGTTTCCTATTTTGTCACTTTTGGATTGTATCTTCAATTTTAGTTTGGAGATATTGATTCAAAATATTTCACATTTCAAACACTTTAAGTTTTACAGTGTTCCATAAAATAAGCAGAATTGATTTATTTCTGTTTCAGCAAAGAAAAGAGATCGTTATTTTTTACCTTTGTGAGTTCAGTTCATTGTATACTTTTGCTTAACTCATAGGTAAAAATGAGTGTAAACTTATTAAGACATGGCGTGCTAATACATATTTCATTAAACTAGGAAACTTCCTAACTGAAACTGTTTTTTCATCATACTGCCCGGAAAGCAGCCATTTTTAGTTCTCTAAATCATCCGCAAATTCATCGTTTTCGGACAACTTCAAATAGGGAACAGAAAAATAATATGGTAATTTTTTCGGTTTGCTAACCTCAAAATTTTATAACTGCATTATTAAAACGCTGCTAATCTCACAATATTAAAAGTTATATTTGTAAACAACAGAAAGGTTAACATTGATGACCATTGTATAACCTCAAACGATGTGGTCTAATTGTGTAATGATTAGAAAGTTATTTCCACGGTATGATGAAAATAGTTGTTCATCACACAAAGCGAAAGTGTCTTTTTGGTACTTAATCATGTTTTATAAGCGAGACGCAGTCGAGCTTGGAAATATCCGATTGCGTACCAAAAAGAGCCATTTTCACTCCTAGTGATGAAAACTACTATTGCAGCTGGTGTGCAAACAGTATGTGTGTTGTTTGGATAGTAAAATTAAAATTTCATATTTCAATCAAGAATCAATCAAGAATCAAGAATTTATTTGCCATTAGATAACACAGTTACAATAGGCTTTGTCAACATTTGTTTATTATTATTTAAAATCTTTATCAGTTGATTACATTTGTTCATCAATTTAGTCTGCCAAGCCACTTTCAAATTTTGTATTTTGTGAGTTCTATATTCAGTTTGTATTTCAATGCAACTACTCATTCTTTGGTTTTTTATTTTTTATTTCATGCTTACTTCTTGAATGGCATATTCAAAAGAATATTCCCTTTAAGGTCCTATCTTTAGTAATGTTAACTAAATGTCACTTTTCTCAGGAGTTAGATTAGGTAGGATAGTGAAGCTTGGTATACTTTTATATTAACTAATTAACTAGACACAGACACATGATTTTTCATTAAAAATTAAAAATAACTATTTTATGAGTTTTTATAATTTAACAAAAATTTGTTTCAAAAAATAAAATTTATTATTTTTTTTTACATGCTTCTACTAAAGATATGATTAATTCCTTATGTCTGTGTTTAGAATAAGTCACTAAGACTACATGGTAAAAATTTCACAGCTGTAAGTATTACCAGTCCTGAAAAAAATGACATTAAAGTTTAAAAAAGTAAAGTTGCGGAAATCGGCAAGAAAAGCCTCCAAGGGTCAACCAAGGGTCTAAGAGTTTTACCTTTAAAACGTCACTGCAATGTTATGGAAAATATATTTTTGTATAAATTTTTAGGTTACTATTCAAAAATGTAATTTTATACCATTTTAAAGAAGAAATTCTGTGCTATAAAAAGAACATAAAAAGTAAAAATTGAAAAAAAATTAAAAAATTTTGACTTGGACTCCCCTTAAGTACAAAATATCATCATAAGAAACAACATAAATTGTAATCTTAGATCAAACTTGGAATCATAACAGTGTTTTATGTAAGTTGTATTGTTTGTATGTATTTTTTTATTTTACTGTAGATTTTAGACAAATGCAGTTTGTGGAATGCACAAGGTTTAGAGCTAGTAAACCTATGTACGTGGTTGGTGGTGTGGTGCTGCTTTGCTTTGGGTTCTTTTAGCTTTTTCAAAATCTTTTTTGTATATTTTTGTTTGTTTATGTTTGGTGTGTTTTTATTTTGATAGATTATCTTCAGTTTCTAAGTAAATTCTGTGAAAAATGTTATGTTTTCAGGATCCAGTTTTTATTACAATCTACAAAACATGTAAACATAGTTCTTACAGCTGGAAATGTAAAAAAGTACCAGTTACTGATTACATAAGAGGAGGATTATGCAAAAAACACATTTTTACTTATAAAAATATTTAAAAAAGTTAATAACACCTAAAATCACTTTTAAAACCAAGACAATTAATTTTTGTTCTTCCTCGCCTATGCCATGCTTATTCTTATAACCATACGGTAAAGGCACTGTAGATTGGGGAGTGGGAATAACTTGGTTCTCCGTTTAGAATGCTTTGAGAAAATGATGGATCGTTTTTTAGGTTGCGAAGACACAAAAAAGTAGTTTGATCGATGACCTGAGTGAGATGATGTCTGTGCAGAGAATTGTTCACTGGACTGACCTAAGTGGCTCAGACCATGTGAGTAGCTACCGGTTGTAAGGGAATCTTACTTTATCTGTCTATACTTCCACATCTTTTATTTATAGATTCTTTAATTTACCTATACTTTCCGGGACACTATAAATGAATAGTGCCTTCCTATTTCAAATCTAACCTATTCTGGTAGTGATTAATCCCATTTGAATCTTATCCTGTTGCAAGATAAGATTATTCTGCTAATCTTAACAACCTTCATGGGAAAAACCTAAAAAACCTGTTTCCCCCCTCGTCATTTAACCCTTATAAATAAATTAATTTAACCTCATTAAGTAAATTTCAATCCAAGCATGGTTTCTTTTTGTAAATATTTGCAGTTAAAAATAAAAGATTAAATAGCATACCTAATATTTGGGAGACAGTCTTAGGTTCTTTTTGTTTCTGTAATGTTGCATGGTTACCTCAAAAACTTATTGTTCTTAGCAGTTTTAATCAAAGAGCAAAATACAACCATTGTTGCCTTTTTTACCCATTCTAGTAGGTTTTGGCAATTAGTTTATTTGTTACCTACTTTTAATTTGTAATTTGTTTGCTTGATTTTGTTGTTTTAATTTAGTTAATTTAATATTTGGCGCTGCTGCTTTAGTTGTTAATCTTTTAGTAAAGAAAGCTCTCTAAAAGAAAGCTCTCTAATACAGGACAAGTTTTACAGAAAAATATATATTTCAAGTAAAAAAAAAGATTAGTCACAAATCACAATATGAGTAAATTAATACTTTAATAAAAAAGGATCAGGTGCTAGTTACTGAATAAAAATTAACATTAGTAGAAAAGTTTTAACCAGGAATCGTTTATAAAATAACCATTGGCAGATATAAAAGTTAGCTGAGCCGCAATGAGTTTTTTGTTAGGCTATAGAACTCCTGGCACCGAGTATTGATTAGCAGGCTTTCAAACTTACCCTATTACCCTGCGATGCAGCCCTTCTGGCTTTACTTCCTCTGAGTCATCAATATAGATATTTATTATAGACGTAAAAAATGTATTCTTATTCCATCCCATTTTTAGTTTGATGAAAGTTTATAGCTATGCATAAGTATCGCTTGTTCGTAATTTATTTACTGACTGATCTTTGCTCCATCTATTTCTTTTCTTAATGTTTACTTTGCAGAAAGCAGTCTTAGTTGTGTAATACCCCCGCCGCAGAAACATGCAGACAAAGGGAATTTCCATTTACCTGATAGGATTTCCAATTCAATCTATTTAATTAACATTAGGTTTGCTGCTACAACGAGGGTAATAAAGTGTGCTATTAGTAAAATATTAATAGCTTAGTCTAAAATAAATGAAATTGCCAAGTTTGATCAAAATATAAACAAAAAACCCACAACAGTTTACTTATTCTCCATAAGAATAACATATGACTTTAAATTAACAGTTTTATTTTTATTTTTCTCTGTAACCAATAATCAGGAAAGGACACATAAATATACTAAATTATTTGTTTTTATAAAGCTCTTTAGATTAAGAGAGAAATTGGCAATTTTTAGGTTTTGAGAGTACAAAATAAGAAAACCTAATTTTTTACCGCATAAAACCCCCCAAAAGACCCTGTTCCCATGGTCCGATCATGCTGGTTCACGAACTCATTTATGTTAATCCTGCCCTACTACACCTTAGAGACAAATCTCATCCAAATCAGCACAGACGTGTATAAATATATATATATATAAAGTTAAATATGTTTATAAACATTTGAATGAATTGTTTTTGGCCTCTTTGACATCAAAATGAAAAAGTTTTTTGGTCCCAGCCCTAGGTCTTATCGTGCCACCTACGGTAATAGCTACAAAGAGATATTCACTAAAAAAGGATTTCTTTTTGCTACATTCCATTTTTAGTTTGAATGTTTATAGCTACAATCGTTGTTTATTCACGGACTATTCATTAGAATGTACAGTATTCATTTCTGGACATATTTACTTGTAGCAAGCAGATTTCAGTTGTATTATTATAAAAGACTTTTTTCGTTGATTAGTATGATGAATGTTTATAATTATAATAACCTTGCCTGTTGCCTGTTGCTTAGTTTATTTAAAAACATGAATATTCATTGTTTTATCTATTTTTGAAATGTTAATATTACAGCTCAAGCCTCTATAAAAATTATCATTTTAGACCTTATTTGCCTTTTCATTTAATTCCTTCATTGTTTTTCTGGTTGGTTTGACCATGCTCACTGTTATAACTTGTTACTGGCGCACGTCTAAAGTTGCCGTAGGTCCCAGTTAGCTAAGCCTATTGTGATTCACAGGGTTTGCACTCCGGCCACCAATTCTAACCTCAAAATCAACCTTATTCATTCCTTAAAATCATACTTAAAAAAGAAACATTGTTCTATTTTCTCTCCTGAAATAGTTTACAAAAACATAGAAATTTAATAAATTTTCATCTCTGTTGTGATTAGGCCTAACTAACCTTTACTACTAACTACTTTGCAAGGATTTGTCACTCATGACAAAAAGAATAGCCTCGTTTTAGCATCAGTTCTATTACTCACACTAACTCACCTTATGTAAATACTTATTTCTTGTGTTATGATTTCTTGCCACCTGTTTTGCTTCATGTTTATTCAAGCGAGATGATGTATTTGTTACGTGAACCACCAACCACGACTCCTCTTAACCATGCCTAACGTATTTTCTTGTTGCTAGCGGTCAGATTCGCTCATGATGTCTCGCAAGGTAATTCCTTTACTTTGTTACTTGCTTGAACCTGTGCATTGTTGCACTCTGCTGTACTGTAATCGTTGCACACACTTAAGATAGATTTTAGTTCTTTATAAAAATTATGAAATAATTTAATTAGTTTGTGTCTCATTTCGGTTAGTGTTCAAGTTTAAGAGTTTCTTTTCAAAAGGGATTGTGTTGGAGTTCAAATATCATACCCAAGAAAATGATGAGTCCTTGGGCTTATAGATACATTATAAAAGTCTATGACATAGCACTTTAATTAGAGGTGATCTGTTTTGTGTATCTATAAGTCAATAGACTGTTCAGTTGATCAGGTAACTGAGCTAAGCTCTATTCCATTCCAAAAAATCAGCTTTCCATTCAAACATAAGTTTAGTCTTAATATGAACCCTTTTAGCTGTTATTTAATTTCATTTCAATAGAGGACATAAAGCATGGTCGATACTAGGAGCGCATGTACAAGATGAAAACTATAATCTTAAGTCGGTTAAAAAAACTATGTGTTTCTATGACTGGATTTGTAAATTATAACAATACTAGTACGGTACCGGTAATCTTTTCTTTTTGAATTTAAAGATTTAAAAAATTGTATCACACATCTCAAATTTTTATTTAAAAATTGTCATTAGTTGTAGACTTATAAACTGATGATGAACAAAGAAAAGAAAAAAGAGTTCTAGGTAATCGTCATTACAGAAAATGTACAGAATACATTAAAATTGATACTTTTCCCTACAAAGAGGCTTCTCTGGTAATAGTTAATTAACTAAGACTCAGTTACAAAGCTGGCACAGTGAAATTGTTTGTAACTGAAATTCTACTACTTTCTTCTTGTAGAAGGTGGGGTGGACAAATTTAGTTTAACATGTGAACCTTTTCTATAATATAATTGCCTAGAAAATCAATGGGGAGGTCTAGTGGTAGAGCAAGGAACTTTGGTCTCCGAAGTCCCGGGTTTAAACTCCGCCAATCATCATTGCATTTTGTCAAAGAAATAATGCTGCAACCTCTAAGGACCTAAATTAATATAAAAAACTATCCAAAGCAAGAGCCTAGCAAAAAAAATTGTCTTAAACTCTTTTTTTTTAAGTGAGTTGGTAACTTGTTTTGTTCCTTATTCCGTAACGTATTACTAAACGTGATTTTTCTGTATAAAATTACAGAGATTTCAGTTTCAGACTTAGATTGAACAATAGATAACGTTAGAGAAATACATTGCCGACCTGTTGCAGATGCTTGTCGATCGGAACACCGGACAGGAACGTGACCTTTTAGCACTGTCTATTGAGTGGCGAGGAAAGATTGCAGGGCTTCTGGACACCCTGGTAGATGCAGCGTCTGATGGTGAACTGGCTGCGCTCATCTCATACGCGATTGCTTTTCCTGATGGCTTCATGGCACTTGTCGACACTTACGATGTGAAAAAGTGAGTACTGATACAGACAAAGCCTACACTTTCCCTTCCCACCCAGTATACTGCTGAGCCGCTTGACAAAATAGTTGACGACTGTTGCAACATTTTAAAATTGTATTAACAATTAAGTTAATAAATCTTCCTGACTCACCTTTACACCTTATGATGTAGGCCCTAGCACGGAACTCGGGGACTGAAGTCCCTGGCTCTATCATTAGACCAGCTCAGTGTCCCAATTATGTCAAATTATGTTTAATTATGTCAAATGGAGGGAGTTCTTTACAAAGAAAGTTTTTTTTTTTTTTTTTTCTACGCCAGTGGCATTTTACAAGAGAAGATACGAGAGATCAAAGTTTGGTGGATGTGCCGGGGATGGAACCCGTCCCTCCCGCACCGAAGTCCGGGACGCTAACCACTAGGCTAGCAACACAACCAATTGCCTGAGAGACATTAGTTTTCTAGCTATCATCTACCGAGTGATAAAAGCCAGTGGTAATTTGAGGGTTAGAACCCAGGCCTGAAGGACTGAGTAAAAGAAATATAATATTTAATATATATTTGTTAAACATCTCAAACATATCTTGTAGTGTTTTATACTTTGGTTCCTTAAAAAGGAAAGTATTTAATTATTACATTCAGTAATTAGCTCCCTTAAGTATAAAACTATAGACACACTTAATTATTTTAAGAGGCCTCTTTAAGTCTTGAATTTGCCCGTCCATAGGTCTTGTATCTGTGCTTGGAACATATCTAGCAAAGCAACCTGTGAGCTAGTAAAATAAAAAAAGTGATAACCATAGATAAAATTTAGTGGCTGGCAACAGGACCCAAACTCACGAAAGCAGTGATGCCTTGGATTCTGGGTCTATCACTCACCTAATTATTGTAATAAACATAAACCTATTTACAGGAATTGATATGATTTTAAAAATTTTGCAGCAGTCTTTAACTAGTTGATCCCATGCAGATGTTATTCTCAACTCTTGCAGCGGTGTCTTTCTTGTTGTGATGCATGCTTTATGTTAGATTTATTTTGGCTTTTGCATGGACTTTAAATTTTTTAAATCTTTTACCTATTTTCTTTCTTCTTTGTCTTTTGATCATATTATTTTATAATTATTCAAATTGTTTTCAAATTTTGTTTGTTCCATGGCAGGAACAAAATATTTTCTCATTAAATTTAAATGTTATGTCACAATTAGCACACCAATATATATATATATATTATTTTTAATAACCACAAGTGTTAGAACTAGGTCAAATACAGTGTTCTGGGTAAAGTTTACTTTTTGCTTATATTTATTACTAGCAGAGTACCCGTCCTTCGTAGGGGTTGGGATATTTTGCTTCTTTAAATTTACAGTATTTTATAGTATTACACATCTACCATAGCCATAATGTTCTACCACTTCACCTAAACAATAGAGAAAAATAAATTATAAAAAGTTTGCAAAATATCACAAATTATTCGTGAAATTAATAAAAAACAAACATAACTGTAAACAATCCTACTTTGACAGTTAGTTCTCATTGCGTATCACAGTTTTTTGTTGCTGTTTAATTCAAATTTGCTGTTTTCATAAATGCAAAAAAATATAGTGCTGCACCCTGTTGGTAAATCTTATAACTTTTTAATGCTTTTGCATATCATAGAACCAACTTTTTAAGAACCAACAGCTGACTAAATTCTTTAATTCCCTTTAAATATGAATACTCATAAGGTTAACATGGGGAACTACAGAGCCACTGGGGCGGAGCCCGAAAGGATTTTTAAGATAAGAATATGCCTATATGTTAATCGGTAATGTGAGCTATCATCATGCCAAATTCAAGCCAAATCCGTCCAGTAGTTGATGCGTGATTGAACTTCAAACAAACAAACAAACACACAACTTTCACATCCTTATATATAATACGCGAAGGCGATTTCTATGAAACACTACTCCTCCGTTAATAATTGACGGATTTTTACAAACGAGGTGTCAAAATTAAGTATTTTTTTTTAGACGCCCCCTTTCACAAATTCCTGTAATAAAAGTCTTTGGGCTTTGCCCCGCAGGCCATCAAAATCCCAATGTATTTCTTATGAAGAAAAGATTTTGTTTACCTAAACAGACGAATAATTTGTATTAATTACAGCTGTTCATGGTAACCACATGATACACACAAGAGTGTTCGTTTTCAGAGTGAGTTCGTTTTCAGTTTCGATAGATGGAGTGGAGTGAGCGTTCGTTTCCAGTTTCGATAACTGGAGTGGAGTGATTGATTACATTATCTTTGAGTTGACTCTTTTAAGTCAACGGAAATTGTGACTGTTATTCGTAAAAAAAAACTCCTTTAATATTTTGCAATTGCTCGAATTCGAGCAACAGGTGCACTAGTTTATAATATTAGTAAGATAAGATGAACTAGAAAACATTAAAGATTTATACCCTTGAATAATCTAGACATGTCTTTATAAAAAATTTTCTTAGTAACTAGAGTAGAACTCAAATTATCTGAATCAATTGTACCACATTCGGATTAATCAAATATTCAGATACTTAGATTTCTATTGAAATTTGGGGTATTTTAAAATAAATAGGCTGAGTCGTGCTAAACTTTTGCAATCGTAATCAAAGAACGCGTCTGAGAAGGTTTTGTGATCTTTCTCTGTGATTGCAGAGGACAATGATGATTTTCAGTGACCTTCAAAGAGGATGGTAATGTCTACAAACCGCAGAAGATTTTCAAGACTTTACCAGAGATGATGTTTCCATGTCCGCGAGATTATGATAATCTCTACATGATTGCGGAAGATATTAAAAATTTTTTTGTGATCAAGGAAGACGATAATTATGTTTCCATTACCATGGGAGATGATGACGTCTATTACAACCCTTAAAGTTGTTTAGGATTTTGTCGAGATTATGTCTTCTGCCTTCTTTACTAACGATTATTATTACTACAGTTTAGGTTTTTAAAACTATTTCTGCAAGTGATTCGTATAATTGGTGATTCAGATAGTTGGAGTTCGCTTTTGTTCGCTAATCGCTTTACCCGTGCTTCACAGTGAGTCACAGACCTTGAAGTTAATGTAGTTCCTAAAATCTTAAGTCATGGTCCTTGGGTGACGACCACGACTCTAATATAAATCAATTTGGAAGCTTATCTTTGAAGAATAATAGATTTATTCAATCTACAGTAGAAAACGGTTATAATCTACCTGTTGATTACTTTACTTTTACAAAACTTACTTTACCTCTTTTTTAGCGAATTTACCTATAGGGAAGTAGCTATTATCGTAGGTGGCATGTTAAGATCTAGGCACGGGACCGATTTACTTTTTCATTTTGATGTCCCCAGAGGCTGCAATTGTCCGCTGTCTTGGTGCAAAATTCCACATTGACGATTACCGTTATGTAGATTGTTGATTTCACTAGGACCAAACACACAGACAGAAACTAGTTCTTCTTTATGACAGTATGACTTCTCTTAACCGAAATGAAGAGGGGGGAAGGTTGTTCCGAATAACCATAATTTTGTTTGGAAGGTATTTACGTATGTAGGTCAATTTTGCATTTTTAAAACTACTGCAGTCCTATTTTTATCTTTTTATTTGTTTTTCTTCTTGCAATGTTTTTGCAATGACACCACCACTTTAAACAGTGATGACACACTGTGTCTGATTCCGTTTACTTTTAGCGGACAGAGGTTGGAAGTAATAATTTAGGCAGGTAGTGTGTTTGTAGTTAGCTCTCGTGTAATAGTCAACGACCATGACCTCAAACCCTGTACCACGCCTCTTGGTGTGTTACATCACTTTCCCTTCCTTCATCTAAAATTAATTTTGGTGTATTTTTTTAAGTCTGCCTTGGAAAGTTGTTATTTCTTCCGTTAAAAGCGTTCCAACTGATTGCAATTATGGTTTAAAGTATTTAATTTAATCGTTATTTGGGTTGAAAGTGTTTAGTTGGTATCCTACTGTATGTGGTAAGACCCAGAACACTGGTACACCGAGTGGTAGTTGTTAGCTCAGTTGTCACTGTTATGAAGGTTTAACTCCGGACCGCTGATGGATCCTACTGTTGGACTCACGGCCAGATCTCACGACTTACTCATGTGAGTGCCTTGTGGTAAGTCCTACATCTCACGGGCTACGCTTGCTTCACTCCCATTGGTCCAACATTACTCTGTGTTGCTTGTCTTGTTTTGTCGTAGACTTGTACATATTCTCGTCTCGGGTCGGAAGTAGTTGCAAGCTTCATGTTTGGTTCATACTTGGAAGCCGCTTAACTTTTGCTTAAGGCTTCAGAATTGTGTACATATTTCTAACCATTTAATCTGTAATTGTCATGTTTTAGTTATAGGAAGTAAAGTTGTTAATGTGATCTATACATTTAATATGACTGTGAGATACGTTTTGTTGTATATATAAAATTTAATCATCTACAAATATTTTAATTCACCTGATGACTAAATTATTCTGAACATTGTTTTTTTAGGCTATTATAATTTTGGTAAAACGTTTTAGTTGGCGTTAAAAGATAAATATAAGTTACTACGTTTACATGATAGTTGGATGTTTCATATGGTTTTAAACTAACATTAGTTTGGCAAGACTAAGGGTGGAAAGTGATATAATAAATACTTAACTTTTTACATATTTTAGCTAACTAATCTTGGTTCCAACAAAGTAAAATAAGTGTGCAGTGAATTGTGGTTTGTCCACAACAATACGGTTTGTTTCTTAAAAGGACATAAGAAATTTGTAAAAATGTTTTCAATTCTGGGTTGTGTTAATTTTGACAGAATGTGCTTCCAAAATATGCTTTTAAATAAAACTATTGATTTTAAAAATTAACTTAAAATTACTTTGCCACTTATATCTGGATGAGCTGAGGTGTTTTTTTTAGAGTTTACTAAAAACATCATCATAGTTTTACACAATCCCGTAAAAATCTTTAACATATTCCGTGGCCTGGTAGACATCAGCATCGTCTCCCGTGGTCATAGAAAATCAACATCATCTTCCGCAATCGTGGCAAAATCTTTGATATCTCCCTCGACCATGTGGACATCATCATCGTCTCCCACGGTCACGGAAATATCATGATTGTTCTCCGCGATTCAATTCAATTATGGCATAAACCATTTAAAAAATTGATTACTTAATTTAGCACATGCATTTTTGCAATTGTGACAAAAGCTTGAGTTTATCTATATAAAAATCTTTGCAGATGCGCAACGGTAAAACCTCAGCTCAATTTGGTCTATTTAAAAGAGAAAAATCCTGAATTTTTTTAAAATCCAATAGCCTATTACAATTTTAGACCATCTTAATGTGGTACAGTAGAAAATTTGAGTACTAATGCACTTACATTAAAGTTAGTATACTACCTAAAACACATGTATACATTAAACTCACAATTGTTATTCAAATTAGTTACATTGAACTACGTTAGCTTGTTTTATACTTCATAAAATTGAAATTTTTTTAGTTCATTCTCAATACCAAAACTTGCATTTGATGTAACAAAATTGATACAACTTCAAATCGATTATTAATCACATTCAACCCATAAAAGTAGGTATTATTTACTAACTTGGTGGTGACAAATAAAAAATTTATAAATCGTCACTTATAAAAAAAACTTTTAACCAAGGAAAGTCTGTAGTAAGTAATGTTAAGACTGAAAATTAGCATATAGCCCTAAAGATTTTGTTAGTACTTTATTAACTTTAACTATTTAAAAATAAATTTCAAGTCTACAACGTAAAGTGTTGAAGTAATCTGCAGTGAGTTTCTACGTCAGTTTCCATCTAGAAGTTTGGTAGGTTTATCATTGCTAATGTTTGTTGCACCTTTTTTGTTTCACATCACGTACGCATTTCCACTTCACAGACTCATGTCCACTTTTGTTGTTTCATGTAGATGATTATCACAGTCTGCAAGTTAATTTAATATACAACTATATATGGGAAATGCTATTTGTGGAAACAAGTAAGGAGTAAAACATCTCAGATTACATCAAACTGTAACTATAGTCCTCGCCACCCTAACTTAAGACAGCCCAAGGCCGCAAGCCCTATATCTAGTGCGGCCTTAGGCTGCCTCAAGTTAGAGTGGCGAGGACTATAAATACTGTGTGAAAGCTATGGTGATTTAAATAAGCTTAGTTTACATAACACCTTTGACTCGTATATCTTACTTGCTTAAATTAGTTTGATTGTTAAAAACTAAGTGCTTCTGAACTGTGCCTACTAGGAATACTAGATTAAGGAAGGAGAATTATTTTTCACAATCTAAATATTTAAAAAATACATTGTCTATATATTTTTTTTAATATTTTTATTGATTACCTCTTGTACTTCATTTGAAGAAGACGAATGAGAACTAAAATTTAACCAGATTATATGTGGTTGCTATTCTATTGTCATTAATTTATGGGATTTTAGTTGTCAATAGTGCTATGTTCAATTCACATACTGCTGGGTGTAAAAGTGAGTGTTGCAATTCAAACTCCTTCAATTAAGATTTGTGCTCTGTGATCTATTGTAAAAGGTAATGAAACTAGCGTGAATTGATTTTGATTTTAGCTCAATCAATGTTCACTAAGGAGCACATCAATGATAGGCCTAGTGATTTGAAGAATGAACTTGTAGCAAAAACTAGTACCAAAAGCCCTGAAGATCAGTTTTACACGGATTGTTGGACGGTTACAGAACTCTGTCTAGAGTCCCTAAATGTCTCCAACTTATATTCATACTAGCAGTTACCCGGCGTGCGTTGCTGTGCTTAACAACTGTTATCTTAAATGGTAATTTGTTGTTTACGATAAATTTAAAAAATGAATACCAAAAAACAAGCTGTCCGTGTGAAAGTATGCATTTTCTAAATTTAAACCAGCGATAGCCTAGGGTTTGCCCTTGTGCCTTATTAATGGTGATTGCAAAAAGGAAATTGTAGTCGCTTGAATTCGGTAATTCAGATTAAATCATCGGTATTCTTGGGATTAAGACTATTTCTCCTTTGAACTTGCCACTGATGATTGTTGCTTCGATCAAGTTTGGTGTAATTTTTTTAATCGTCAGTCTGGTTCCGTTGCACAGCTTAGGTGGATTTAAGTTTCTCCTTAGCATTATTGGAGTTCTTTCTTTTAATAATAGTAAGTGTGGTGGGTTAATGACAAATGGAAGGCCTTTGAATACATGAGATAGCACGCACGCTTATTATTAACTTAATAATTTATGTTAGATTTTGTGGTTATGGAATAAAAGATGAAAATCAAAAGTATTCAATATATTTAGTAACATTTTCATACAAACAATAATAATAGCTCTCAACCCAGCACCAAAAGCCAAGCTGCTTAGAGTCACCATAGATTCTGCCCTTTCATGGAAGGCTCACATAAATAGCCTTTGCAAGAGCCTGACAACTGGACCTTATACAGGGTGTTTGTGAACTCTCTCGAAAAAATTCACAGGATTATTCCTTGGGTTAATACATGAATATTTTACATTATAAACATGGGTCGTCGGAGCCTCGTTTTCCGTCTGTCTATCTGTATGTGTTTTTTATAAATAACTTTATAACTCGAGTTTGAATCGAGGGACAAACTTTAAATTTGACGCACTTGTGTATTTTAACGTGTTACACAAACATGCAAAATTTCATTTCGTTGACTATAGCCATTTCAAAATGGCGGCCATCTAAAATCTTTGACCTAAAATTACATGAAAACCACTACGGTAGAGTAAAAAAAAAGAAAAAAAAAAAAAAAACACAAGAATAACAAAATGTGGGAAATTTTATGACACAAATCAAATGACACCTAGATCTTAAAGATCGGACAACAAACAGCTGAGTTATAAACTTTTTAAATAATTAATAATTTCTTTACTGGCTTTTAATTGTTATTGTTTATTCTTTAAAATCATCTGATACAGAGTACATTACGTAACCTTAAAAAGATCTCAATTGTTAAGGTAAAAATAGGACACTTAATACATTTACCATCTAGTAAAAAAACTAAATGTTGTTGTTAGGGCAAACCAGCTGTCTTACATTGTTGTAACAATTTAGAAAGGATCAGATGATTTTGAAGAATAGACAATAACAATTAAAATCCAGTAAAAAAATTATTAATTATTAAAAAAAATAATAACTCAAAATAATCATGTGATCATCATCTCAAAATCATATGTCCAACCAGCTGTCTTACATTGTTGTGACAATTTAGAAAGGATCAGATGATTTTAAAGAATAAACAATAACAACTAAAAGCCCGTAAAGAAATTATTAATTATTTAAAAAGTTTATAACTCAGCTGTTTGTTGTCCGATCTTTAAGATCTAGGTGTCATTTGATTTGGCATAAAATTTCCCACATTTTGTTATTCTTGTGTTTTTTTTTTTGTAACTCTAGTGGTTTTCATGTAATTTGAGGTCAAAGATTTTAGATGGCCGCCATTTTTAAACGGCTATAGTCAACGAAATGAAATTTTGCATGTTTGTGTAACACGTTAAAATACACAAGTGTGACAAATTTAAAGTTTGTACCTATTTATAAAAGTTATTTATAAAAAACACATACAGACAGACAGACAGAAAACGAGGCTCCGGCGACCCATGTTTATAATGTAAAATATTCATGTATTAACCCAAGGAATAATCTTGTGAATTTTTTCGAGAGAGTTCACAAACACCCTGTATGTGGTAAGAGGCTTAAAATGGCTATTAACTGCAAAAACAGCTTATTTTTCATTGATAGAATCTCATACCAGATACGGTCTTGCAATATGGGGAATAATTACCTTATCCTATATGTTTTGATTTAAGACTTTCAGTGAAATATCGGCTTTCATTTGAATTATCGATTATTAAGATCGGACGTTACTTAAACTCAATGCTGCAATCCGTTTTTCATTTTATTATTTTGTTTTTGAAATATTGACATTTTAAATAAACAATTGCCATATTTTAAAAACAAAATATGAAAATAAAAAACGGATTGCAGCATTGAGTTCAGCTTAAAAAAGTAATTCGAAATGATGGGTCACAACACCACCTTCATATTTAAAATAATTAATCACATTTCAAAATGGCAGATTTAAGATGGCGGCCGAAAAAATTATCCGTCATAGCCAAGTGAAAATAGGTTGGCAATGACTGGTGGTGTATACTTATCTTAATCTAGCACTATGTTAAAAGGGGCTAAAAATAAAGTTATAAAAATTCCTCATAACTTTGGAATGGATCAAGATTTCTAAAAACGGATTGTGGCATTGTAATCAGGGTAAAAATCTTGTTTGGAATAATAAGTCACAACCCTACCTTTACATTTGAAAAAAATATTTTGCATCCAATATGGCGAATCCAAGATGGTGGCCGAAAATGACCACCTTGTCAAAATTAAGTACTTACTACTCAGCAATGTTTAAAAGTGGTCTGGGATTGATATTTAAAAATATGTAGAAAAAAGTTGGAGGGTGGAACAATTAAAACTCACCCTGTATATACGTCTGTGAATGCGATAACTTGAGTATTTTTTTTTATTTTGATGAAATTTGGTTTAAAGGTGTAAGGTGGGATAAACTTGAATGAGTTTGCGAACCAACATGATCGGACTATGGGAACGGAGGGTTTTATTATAAAAATTGGGTTTTCTCATTTTTGACCCTCAAAACACAAAATTTCCCAATTTCTCTCTAGCTTAAAAAAAATATTTAGTATATCAAAGTGTTTCTCTACAGTTATTGGTAACGGAGAAAATTAAAAAAATTTTAAATTTAATATTCCTATGTTTTTCTTATGGAGAATATTGTAAAATGTTGTAGTTTGCTTGTTTATTTATATATTTTGATCAAACTTGGCAAATATATTATTTTATACTATGCTATTAATATTTTACTAAAAAACACACTTTATTAGTTTCCTTGTAGTAGCAAACCTATGCACTCGTTAAACCTTATGTTATTTAAATAGATTTAATTGAAAATCAGTTAAAAAAAATGGAAATTCAGGTTTGCTGCAGCAGGGGTATTTCAGTTACCTATCTTAGTATATCTGTGTTCAGTCAAGTTGCCTTTGTTTTTTGTATTAATTTTATACGTCTTTGTTTTTAACAGTCCATGTAATTCCATCACATGATCACATCCATTGTTGCATTCGTTCGTCTCGAATCACCGCTCATAACATCACGCATTCATTTTTCTCGTAATAAATAAATTATACTCTTTTATACCAAACCTATCGACTTTTTCCTCTCTAATATAAATACACCGCACAATCTGTGTATAAAAAGATTCAATTTATAAACTGTTATGTTTATTTAACAACAGTGTATTTCAGATGAACAAGAATTTAATTATTGTTTCCGTGCAGTAATGGATTTCCAACCACATCTTGAACTATGGCCTAAACTATTCTATACATAGTCGTCCACCAATACCGTAAATAATCTTAGGTAAAGCTTTCTTCTGAAGAGGGGAAGGAAGGCGGTAATGGAGGGGCTACACGCGTGTAGTTCCACTTGTGGCCGCAAGGTTCGGTAGGTTACAGATTCAACTTTGCTAGTTGCAGAGGTTCACAGGCCATTACTTTGTAAATTACCCATACATGCTAGTATAAAACAATAAACAGGGTTTTATAGAACAAAGAACAATCCATGCATACTTGGTTTTAGAATTTTATAGTAGCAAAGATTATAATAAGTTAACGCAGTTTAAAATTGCAGTTTTTCGTCTACATTCAAAAGAGGATTTTCAGGCTTTATGCTATGATATTAAAAATATTGAAACCACCATATTTGAGATGATTTAATCCTCTTCAAAATGAGACCCTAACTTTGATTTTACGTTAAATGTAGCCTTTAGAAACACGAGGGCCCCAAACCCTTACACGTAACGGAAGAGGTAGAGCGGACCCTTAAAAGACGCTAAATCGACCAACTTCCAATGGAGTTGCTGTTAAATTCAAAGCAGATTATGGCTGTCCAGTTGGTAACCCAGAGTTTGTGGTATACATTAAAAATTGAGCACCTGAAATGGTTGATATCATCCCACTTTTCAGGATTCCCTATTGGAGAAAATGTATTAGTTTAGAGGGATGCCTCAAATCGAAGAAGAGCTACTGCTCAAAGACATAAAGTTACCCAATGTTACTTTGTGTCAAACTAATGATCAGTAAGTTAACAAGACCGAGGACAGGAATATACGCGAACCTCCAAGACAAAATTTGAGATATTTAAATCAAATTAATTCCCATTAGGTTTTCAAACAACTCTAAGAATCTTAATACCGTACAGTTACTCGAATCCAAACACCAAGTTGGTGTTTCTTACTACGTTGCTCATTGAGCCGCATGGGTTTCCTAGTTATAAATAATTCTCAATTTAAAAAAAGGGTTTACAGTTTACTATATTATTCAGTTAGTTTCCTAGGGGCATGCAAAACTTAAGCATGAGGGTTGTGTTAATTTTATTGCTACACTGACTACATGCCATGATTTAATAGAATTAATGTTGTCTGAATAACTTCAAGAAACATGATGAAGAAAATGTAGTTTGTATCCTGAGGAGTCAATTATATTAAATTTTACAAAACAAATACCATAACACAGTTTGATTACATAAATTCTATGTAGTTTTAATACTTTTTTTCAAGAAAGATTTTTTATCAAGAACACTAGATTGTCTCATGCAGATTCAGATTTGCAGATTCAAGTGCAAAGATAATTTTTGTTCGAGTCTATATGTTAATGCAAAGAATGTTTATATGGAACTTCTTGGAAAGTTTACTCCGTCAAGAATTTTTAATTTTGTTTTTTTGTATAAACTAGATCAATTGATAGATTAATTGTTTATGGCTTTTTAACAACAAATTAAAAAAAAAACAGGTTAGTTAGTTACCTTTGAGCATGAAGACATTCCATTTCCATGTTAAATATTTATCCCGATTGAGAATAAAAATCAGATGATAATTACTGATTTTTGTAAAACAGGCCTACACAAACTTTTTAACTTATTACATTAACAAAAACTAGTAGGGTAAGAAAAAGTTAAAAATTTGGAGATTGGCTTCTGCCACTACGTTCTTTTTTAATAACAAATTTCATACATCCAGTCTATATAGATGCAATTTCAACTTCGTTATCCAAAAGTTGATGGTAGTATATATTCAATCGACGCTATCAGCAAGTGTTTGTCTGTTGCAGGAGTGGGCTGCTTAACTTCTGCGCTGTGGCGTTGGCGCTCAATGAGCTCGGCTACCGTGCCGTCGGCATCCGCATTGACAGCGGAGACTTGGCCTATCTCTCTAACAAAGCCCGAGAGTGCTTTGTCAAGATCGGCAACAAGTAGGTGTTTTGGTACTTGTATGAAGTGTATCTTTTCAACCCCTTGTAAAACAATTGAGAACAAATTATATTTCATTTATATTATATTATATGTCACCATTTCAGAATAAAGTATTAAAATATTCTCTAGTACAGTAAGGACTATGCAGAAAAGTTGACTAAGAACAGCACTTGCAGTTCATAGCTGAGTTACTGTGCAACAATTTGTTATCTGATTGAAAGAAAATCTAAGAAGAATCAACTTGATTGGTTGATACATGAACAGTCTGTGTTTGCCACATTCCGTTGCTTCAGAATATTGCAGCAGCATCTCGCCTAATGCACAACGGGTTGAAAGAGTGCTTTACTCCACCTCATTTTTCATTGTGTAGTCAAACAGCAGAGGGTCTGCAATCTCCGCACACTGCTCAAAACTTTCTAAATATTTTAATCCTTATCATTGATCGTCACCTGTTGCAGGTACAACATTCCCTGGTTTGCTCAGCTGCAAATTGTTGCTTCAAATGACATCAATGAAGAGACTATCTTAAGCCTCAACGAGCAAGGTCATAAAATCGACTGCTTTGGAATCGGAACTCATCTAGGTAATTCAAACAATACACTCTTAAAAAACTTATGAAAATTTGATTGAGCAGTATTATTTAAGTTTGAAGACTTTTAATAAAAAAAATATCAAAAATGAGAACGCCACAATTTGTTTTAGCTGTCACATGTTAATTGTTGCAACAACAAATGATCAGCTGTGCTTATAACATAAATTAAACCATGCAATTTTATTAAATATTATTCCTGAGGCTATTAACACTGAGATTTTGATGTGGAAACCTATTTAAAAAATAGTGATTCTTGTGCAAAAACCCAGATATTGTTTGGACCACATTCCATCCTTGGTCAACATGGCGCTGTTCCAGATTGGAAAACAATGGTGAACTGAGTAAAATTATTTAGGATAAACGCTTAAACCTGAAAAATAATCGATAGGTTCCGCAAAACTCTTTGTACACCAGCAAATGTTGAAAGAGTGCGAGTCACAGTAACTGAAAGTCCAAAGAGATTTGCCAGGAAGCTTTTGTTGTTGAAAGCTTTACGTTGGCTCCTTTTTTGGGAGGGGGGGGGGTCTGTTCTAATAAGTTACTTGAAGTTAGAGGTTTTTCAAAATTACCACACATAATTGCTTGAACCAAAGCTAGGAATTGTCCAAAAACTTAAATAATTCCTGAAGAAATGCTGGATGAGTATTTGATGGAGTTTTCAAGTGCTTAAAAAGGAATGTCAAGTAGGACAAGGACGTCACTTGCAGGATTTCTTTCTCAAGAAATGGAAAAATGACTTCGTTAAGTTAAAATGGCAAAAGATAAGCTTCGTTTTTATGTGCTATTTATATCTTTAGTTTAGAGTGAATATTATTGAGTTTGTACTACTTATAAATTGGGGTGCTTTCATTGCCCTACCCTATAGAAAGTACTATCTTGTTTGCAGAACCTTTTATTGCCGATGATTATCGTGATAAAGACTTTATCTTTCTAGAATTAAAAGTTATTTTATCCTGCTTTAAAAATAATAAAGCACCTGGTCTAGCCTAACTAAAGCTGTTTAACACTAACAGTTAGTCACACTCGGGTTGGATCTGGCTATTTGTTTGTGGTTGCTGCACTATTGATTTGATTGTTTACTTTACAAATTACAGTGACATGTCAGCGACAGCCAGCTCTAGGCTGCGTGTACAAATTGGTAGAAGTCAATGGAGTTCCCAGGATCAAGCTGAGTCAAGACGTAGGCAAAGTGACCATGCCTGGACGCAAGGATGCCTACCGTCTCTACGGTGCTGATGGTACGTGTTGGTAGAATTGGAAGTCTAAATAAGCTCTTCTGTTAGTGTGAGATCTTGCTCTTACTGTATCTTATCAATTCCTGTCTATTTTAAAAGAATTAGCCTAAAAAGGTGTTTGACCTTCACCATAAATGTTTTAGCGAATTTCCCATATAGGAAATAAGCAAGTTCTCATGGTAAGACCTAGACCCGGGACCGGTTCACTTTTTTGTTTTGATCAGTACAAAAACACTGTCTGTTCAAATTCATATATACAGTAGACTCCTTTTTATCCGGACACCTATTAACCGGACTCGGTTTGACCGGACTACACTCGGTAGAAGTGACACCTCTTTATCTGGATAATTTTTATCAGCACATCGGTTTAACTGGAATAGATTTGCAGGAAGTGGGTGGTAGTGAAACGACTGTTCTCGTGGGAAAGATTTGAGACCAGTGATTACGTGTCTAAATACAATGCTCTCCTAATTTTAAGTCAAATACTGTATAGAGTATGCATTTAAATGGTCCGTTTAACGAGATTTTGGGAACGTCGGTTGAACCGGAAAAACCGTTATCCGGACTGGCCTCGGTCCCGAGGAGTCCGGATAAGAGGGAGTCTACTGTATATGTGTGTCCGTTAGCACGATAACTCAAGCAGAAATCATCTGATTTTGATGAAACCATTTTGTAGAGTTTAAAAAAACAAATAAATAATTTTGTATTTTGAAGTGTTTTAGTACGGCCATTGGCTTCCGAGAAAATTTAAAATAGCCCACATGTTATTTTGATAGAGAATAAGAAATTTATTGTAGTGTGCTAGTTTATGGATATATTTTTATAGACCTTTTTATAGACACACATCAGTTCTGGCACGTCACAGTTCAGTCACATCAGTCATATCACAGTCACAGCAAAAAAATGTTAGTTCAAAAACATGATTATTCATTCAACGTTTTCTTTATTTGTAATAATGTTGTGGAAAATATTATGAGTGGTCTGGAACACATGCTGTTAGATGAACAGATCTGACCCAGTGTGTAAGCCACATTAACTGTTTATTTAGGTTGTGTTTTAGAGAAAAGCCAAGTGGCTGGTTAGGAATTGTTAAAAAAAGTAGATACACTAATAACAGATCAGAAACCTTTTTACAGTTACTGCTGAAGAAACTTATACTACTGATTTCCCCGGTTTATTTGGCATCCTGACTCGTTTCTTTAGAAATACCTCGGATTGATCTTTTAAAAGTTCGACCATAACATTATGACCATGTAAAATGCATGTCAGTCTCCTATGTCGGTCGTTTGCAGGGCATGCTCTGATCGACCTGATGCAGAGGTCCATAGAGCCGCCGCCCCAGGCAGGCGAGAGGGTGTTGTGTCGTCATCCCTTCCAGGAGTCAAAGAGAGCGTACGTCATCCCCACTAGCGTAGAGGCATTGTACAAGGTAATGAGCTGATATAAGTGTATATGTGATTAAGTGCTGTTATTTAGCCAGTGTTTCTGTTTCTATGATACTTCGTTTTTTTAGGATAACTATTGATAATATTCATTCTGATAGCCCCTGGACTAGTTATGTATGACTTTTTAGGCTTACCTCCATTTTGTGTCAAACTTAAATTACTTAAAGCTTACATCTTCGGAGCGTGCAACACGTTAAAAAACATCAAAATTTACACATAAAAATGTACATTTTACACAAGACATTTACATACACGAAACAACACAATACACTATAAAACTACTTTTCAATTAGACCAAATATCGCAGCACAGCTAAGCTAGTGCTTAGGACCAGGGACTTATACTCCTAATGGTTCAAGAGCAAATAAAAGCTTAAAGCGAGAGGCCAAAACAAAATAAAAGTGATAACTATCTGTTGTTTGAGGAGAGAGTAGTAGGTGTGTATAGTGCTATGATACAGTTGTTCGGAGTCATCCTAAGCTGTAAGTCCTCCTGTCTAAAAAAAAAAATAAAGATCTCTTAGGTTAGGAATTGTTCTTCTGTAGAAGATAATTTCTCTACTGAAAAACCATTTGATAATTATTTTTAAGTATATATTATCAATCTTGTTTAACAATATCTAACAGGTAGACTTCCGTATCTGTTGGCCCAAGCAACAGAATGAAAATATTCATCGATATATCAATGATTAGATATATCGTTTGGTTAGTTAGGTAAGGTTAACCTAACTAACCAAACAATATATCGAATGAAACAATCGAACAATTGATATTTTCATTCGGTTGTATGTGCCAACAGATACGGAAGTCTACCCGTTTATTCTTAACAGGATTTAATGTTTCTAAACAACTGTAATCATCGTATGTTGTGGGATTATAAAAAAAAATCGTATATTGTGGGCTAAAAATAAGAAAATGTTTCTTCCCAGTCTTTGAATTAATACTTTGCAACAACATAACATGTTTTACGCTAAATAACCTTGTACTGGAAAATTTACCTCTTGCAAAAGTGATCAGGATCATAAAAAGGCAATACAACAAACCCATGTTACAGAAAGCAAACCAGCTGCTTTGTAGAAGGCGGAAATATGATTGATTTCTTAAAGGAAAATACCAAGCAGATTGCTGATATATAAACTGTTAACATGCAAATTTGTTATATGATCTATTCAATTCACGTCTTCTCTTGCAATAATGTGATCATATTCAAGAAAGCAATGTAAAATTTCTACACTATCAATTTCTGTCTGTTGAGATGGTATTTTGCATCCTAGGGCAATAACATTTTTGAAAATACAGTAGACTATTTTGGAAATCTCAGGAACAGTTCTTTGTCCAAACTGAAAAAAAATGTTTACCGTCAAAAGGTTATATAAAGTCACGTTTAAAAACTACACATTGGTGCAAAAATCAGCAATTTTCTTTAAAATCAAAGAACACAGCAATAACCTCTGTTGCTCTGTAAGATACTGGGCAGGCTGTTTACGTATCTGTAATCATAACAGTGCTTGTGTGAGTCATACACATGAGGATATTCAAAACAGCTGAAGTCCAATCCAAACGGATCCAAATGAAAGTGGGTCTACTGGACAAGTATGGCTGGGTAGCCGAGTGGATATAGTGCTCGCCTAACTATCAAAATGTAGCTGGATCGATCCTGAGAAAAGTCAGTAGCTTAATAATGGTTCAAAACTGGACGCAGCTGTTCCTATTCATTGGGCTTTAAATAAGTGATCCTGACTAATGAAACAGCTGAGCTTAGCCAGTAACAAAGCTACACAGATCATCACACTCTATTCTACACTCATCCTTTGCTCATTTTAGGGTTAAAATACACACCTAGGTAGTATCCCCATCTTTATGATTGATAATTGAGTAGTGGTAATTTAGTTGACCTTAAAATTTGATTCTGAATGAAAATCCAAAAGTGAAAACCTTCTCCTAATGACTCCAGTGAATGTTTTTGCAGGTATACTGGCAGAATGGGAAAGTTTGTCAGCCTCAGCCGAGCCTCAAGGAAGTTAGGGACCGAGTCAGAGCTTCACTGCAGACTCTGCGCCAGGACCACAAACGGAACCTCAATCCAACACCCTACAAGGTCAGTGACAGATATGACGATTAAAACTTGTCTTGATGTACGTGTTATACCAAACAGAAATAGCATGTGTTTTCAAGGTATTTGGTCGTTTAGTCCACAGGGAGGTTCAGATAACAGAAGATCTGATATTCTCAGAACTTTAAGGCCATGTCACACCGACATCCGCCGCGGGAGTACCGCGCGCGGATGTTTTTCCTCGAGCCATGTCACACCAAAAGTTTGCGTCCGCGGCGGGAGTTTTGAGATGAGTTCATTACAATTCCTTTTACATAAGAAACTCATCTTACCTGTTTAGTATGCCATGTAAATTTGCAGGTTTTAAGTAAAGTGTTTAAGAAGCAATTGAATGTTTATTAATTTGTTAGTGTAGGGCTACTTTAAAAAGTGAATAACTATTTTTTAAATTTAATTTAGACCTTCTGTTCGAAGCATTTTAAATATGGTTGTGGATAAATTATCCACTTTCAGCTTGTGAACGTTCTTAATCGAAAAAGTTGATGAAACAACAAAACAAAAATGATTTTTTTCTGGTGATAAACCTAATTACGAAGATAATACAAAACAACATAGACTACATCATCAAACAAAAGAAACGTGTTAAATTTAATTTAAAACTTTATTTAACTGTATTACTTTTAAACTTTAAATAGCTTGGGCATTCGAAATGCCCCTTTGCGCATGCGCTAGACAAAACTCCCGCCGCGGTAGTCTCAAAAAATCGCTCAGCAGGCGGACGTGGCGGACACTACCGCACGCCCGCGGGCGCGCGGTAGTGCGGTGTGACTTGGCACATTTGACAACATGGTGAGCGATTTTTCAAAATTTGCTCCCGCCGCGGGAGCGAGCTCGGTGTGACTTGGCCTTTACTGTATCAGAGACTTTTGTTCAGCCCAACTTTTCAAGTCTAATGCTTGATTCAGCTTCTTTTCATGCTTGGCTCAAAATGCCACATGCTTTCTCACCTCTAAGTGTAATATTTAAAAAAATGTTTAGTGTTCAACATTTTTCTCATTATTAACTATTATCAATGGTTGAACTGGTTTCAGGTTGCTGTAAGTGACTGCTTATACAACTTTATCCATGACTTGTGGCTTCAGAATGCCCCGATTGGCGAATTGTCTTGAAGCTAATGCTTTCCCATCATTGAAACCACATAAATGCTAGTCCTACCTTGCTGGTCTAGCAACACAACTTGAGTCGTTGCTGAAAAAATAAATCTTTAAGTGGTACTAGGTAGCTGAATGTTAAATTTATTTTGTTGACTTTAAAAAATGAAATATTGTTTTTGTGCTGTTAACAAGTGGTTAGTATATCCTTATTTTGTTATTTAGATGTAGCATATTTATTATTTTTAGGCTTAATCTTGTACTTCATACTTGATTTATTTTCACTATGCAACTTCTAGATTATAAAGTACCAAACTGTTAAAGCATTAATGGTTTAAGCACAATAAAATAATATAGTTAGCGCTGGATTGTACATTTGTCCATTTTTGGATAGTAGATTAAAAGCTATTGATGATGTTAAATGTAATTATTTTTATTTTTGATTAGGAACTTTTTACAAATTATAAATTCTATGTTTTAATTATATCTTTTACAATCCAAACATCTTTAAGGTATCTCTTATTTTGTTAATTGTGCCATTTTATGTTTAAACGTAGTTATCTAATATACCAAACTAGTGTGGACATAAGGTAAATGAGATGTAAATACTTTATTTTTAAAATATAGGCATTGGTTAGTTAGAATAGAGAAAAATAATATATACAAATAATAGGTGCATTTTAACAAGGCCGAGTAATGTTATATGACAAATGTTATTAATATTGGAGTGAATGAAGATGAATTGGATGGTTTGGTTGTTATATCCACAACTATCCAACCAAGCCTATACCAAGTTTAGATGTTTAACAATTGTATCTTCGCTACACAATTTGTTGACTATTTTCTGATGCGTATAACATCTCAAATGCTTACAGTTTAAACAGTTTCATGGAGTAGTTATTTTCAGAAGTTTGGACCAAACTTTTTTGAAACATATCCGTAGTAATAATTAATTGGGGTTTCAATTTTTTGCAGATAAGTTATTAAATTAACACAGATATTAAGTGTTCCAGTAAGTGTAACAGGTATTTTTGTTGTAAAATCACTTGGTTTTTTTTATTATTAAGATAAATAATTTTAAATGGCTTCCATTTGGAATTGGAACACGGACTAATTCCTTGTGTGCAGATAGGTCCTATTTGTCACGCTACATGTACCAAGTTTGAAGTCAACCTTTCAAGGGATTTTTAAGTGATTTATACATTTGTAAAAAACATGTTTTTATGAAGTCTAACAGAAATAAACAGTATCAGCAATTTGACACGTCATACTCTCACCAGTTAGCTTGTCAACTAACCTTTTCATGGGCAAGCGATGGCAGTAACTATTATATTTTATGGGGACAGTCACAAAAGTCACGAAAACTTTTGAACCTAAACTATTTAGTTTAGAGTAAAATAAGCCTAATTTTGAAAAAAAAATCACTATTAAAAATCAAAATAAAAAAAAAATTAAAAACTCTTGGACATACCATGAATTAGTACCCACACATATATTTGTGTGTCCATTAGCACGATAACTCGAGCAAAAATTATCCGATTTTGATGTAATTTGGTTCAAACAAGGACCATGGGGTTTAATGGGTTAAAAATTGGTTTTTCTCATTTTTGATCCTCAAAACATAAAATTTTCCAATTTCTCTCTAAACCATTTAAAAGAGCTGAAAAAAACAAATAATTTAGTATCTTGACGTGGTTTTGTATGGTTATAGGCTATAGAAAAAAAGGAAATTTAAAATCTTTTTGTTATTCTTATGGAGAATAAGTTGAACTGTTGTAGTTTGCTTGTTTATGGATATGTTTTGATCAAACTTGGCTAATTTATTCATTTTATATACTAAGCTATTAATATTTTCTAAAAAACACACTTTATTACCCTCCTTGTGGCAGCAAACCTAGGTACTCGTTATACGTAATGTTATTGGAATGGATTTAATTGAAAATCAAATCAGGCAAATGGAAATTTGCTTAGTCTGCAGGTTTGCTGCGGCAGGGGTATTATCTAAAACAAACAGAATTTATAAGTCAGTTTGTTACAAACAATGATCTAGTTGTCAAAATAAAGTGAATATAGTTAATAATGTTAAATTTTAAATTATATTATACACTTTTATAAACATAACTATAAAAAATCAACTTGAATTTGGTCTTTTAAAACTAAGTCTTCATTAATTCAGTCTCAGTTACTTATAACAAATTTAACCTACATTTTAAAGGTACAGTACCTGAATCAGTTTTAGTACTTATTTGAAGTACTTAACAAAACCTATTTCTTGAACAAATAATTTTTTTTTCAAACTATCTTAAGGTTAATGTTTGTATACTGTTACATTTAGTGAACTTAATATGTTTACCTACGGCCGTTTTTTAACTAGCCTTTTCAATTCAGTTCTTAGAATTGAAAAATTCACTTTTTTACAGTATTGTTTACTTACTTAACATAATTGATTTGTTACTTTACAGTACAAGTTTGGACCAATGAAGTTCAAGGATTGAGAGAAAAGAAGTAAAATTTTAATGCTTCAAACATCAACTTATTAGCGGTTAAAGCCAATTTAATTGATTATACAATGAGTGAGTGGCTGGGTTGGAACAATGAGTTATTGCATCACAATCAGTGACAATGAGAGGTTATAAACAAAAACAACCTCTCTTAGACATTATGAGTAGTGATTATTAGTAATTTAAAAATGGTCGTAGGTAAAGTAGTGTACGCAACTCACGTAATTAGCCTTAAAGACAGTCGTAGAAGTTTTACAGGCACTTGCCAAGGCTCGTACCTTAAATTTTATACTTGTGTCTTAAAGACTATCTTTATGCGATTGTTGCGTAAACTACAAAAATAATTTGACTGTTACTTTTTTAGTAAAATTTTAAATATACTACAGTTATACCAGGATGTTAGTGCCTAGGCTGTTGTTACCGTTTAGTTGTAAGTTACCACCGGATGCAGTTAGTGCTAACTAAGCATTCCAATATTTTATTGTTTAAGGCTAACTAGGTGTTGCCTACTCACATTGTTCATAGCACTAAATTAAAGCTAGACATTTGTAACAATCATAGAGAAGTCACATAATTTTTTCACATTGTAGTAAAAGTTTGTAAAAATATGTGTTTTTTATTTCCCTTGATATTATAAAATTAATGCAACTTAAAGAAAATGAAAATCAGAATACTTATTGAATTTTCTATGGAGAGATAAAGGAAAAGATAGGGCAATATACAATAAACAAAATTCTTTGATAGTAAATTCTTTAAAAAATACAATGGTGTCATGTTTGTTTTACATCTCTTGATTTACAAGTATTTTCTGGTCTTCTATCTTTATGAGATCAAAGAATTCTTTGATTGGAAATCAGTTCGTTCCACGAGCCAGTCTCGCAGACCCTGTTTTATAGTGTTTCCTCTCATAGTCTTGAGGTCTTGGGGCTGATACAGGATGGTTTCTTACTGAAGTGCGTTGTATGGTGTGCAGGAAGGCTGAAATCTGCAGCTTTTCTGGTTTGGTATGGGTGAAAATCTCTATTTCTGAGAAGACCAGCTGATCAGTGTATATAACAACTGCACTGAAAGTGCTGTGACTGTTGGGAGCATTAGCAATTTAAAGGTTTCTCTGTAGCTATCTGTGGGGTCAAGATTCATTAGAGGATTGTTGTTGACCAGGATTTTGTTAAGGTTTGGTTTCAGATGTTCCTCCCCATGATATCAACCTCAAATACTAGAAAAGACCCAGTATGGATCATAAACATAAACAAATGACGTTTTTGGTACGAAAGTAAACAAAACTACTACTAATATACTAATACTAAACTAACTATACTAATAGCATTAATTAACATATGGTTTTGTTCACTTTCGGGCCAAAAACGACATTTATTTATGTTTATGATCCATACAGGGTCTTTTCTAATATTCGTGATATCAACCCATACCTGAGATGGAACTTCACTAAAGCAAAATATACACTGTCTTAGCTGCTTGAATGCCTGCAGTCCATTTTATCCTTTTTACCACATGGATCCCAGGTAAAAAGCTTCTTTGTTAAGTTGTTTATATGATCTGTCCAGGAGAGATCAGCATCAATAGTAAAACCCAGGTGTTTAAACTTTTCAACATAAATATTATGCGTTACAGATATGTGCTCCAGTCTTCTGCTAAGATTAACCTGTATAATCATTTTTTCCAAATGAGGCCGTGGCCCAAACAGTCGTATGCTTAACACTCTGTCAAGCACACTGTCTAGATGGTCTATGTTTTCGATTAAGTCTGTCAGAGCTGCAGTCGTAGATCTTCCTTTGAGAAGCCATATGAATTTTTTTTATATTAGGTCATATCTTTCTAAATGACTTTGCATTTGTGACAGTGCAACGTCATCATCGTCTTCCACAATCACGTCAAAATTTTGTTTATTTCCTACGGTCGTGTAGACATTGTCATTGTCTCCCACGGTCACGGCAAAACCCTGAATAACCCCGCCGTAACAGTACATCATCATCATCTTCACCGATCGCGGCAGAATGTTGACTTTACATGCAGTAAAAAAATATACCTATGCCCGAAGGGTAAACACAATTTCCACTAAAAATGACCGAGTGGTAAATTATATTTATTAAGTTATTTTTGTATGACCGTGACTGTTGATTTTGTATTCTTCAAGTAGATGGAGACAATATTAAAACCTAGATGTACGTAATTAGCAACGCTACAACTTTCCATTAATGAATTGGCCAGCCTACCTAACAACAGTTTAGCTATGAATTTTTATCTAAATGTAAATCACTACATAATATAATGGACCTTTTGAACCAGAGGGATTATTCAGAGGACCTTGTCAAGGGTTACCTCCCGCTATCTCCGCGTCCCGCCACCTCCGTGTCCCGCCACCTCCGAATTTCAGAGTGACCCCTATAATCCTCGGCTACTACTTGCGTCAAGACTTTCTGTCCTAACCTAACCTAACCTAACCCACGGGTTAAATTTTCATTAAATCTTCCATCCACGGGGCTTCAATAAAAAAAAAATGGAATAAGATCAAACATTTATTAATCTTGGTAAAATTATTAACTCACTAACAAAATTCAATCTGCAATGACAGCTACCAACGCAGGCAGTGACGGGATTATAAGGGTCACTCAAGAATTCGGAGGTGGCGGGATCGACAGATTTGGGTTCGGAGGTGGCGGAACGCGGAGATAGCGGGAGCACACGCTTGTCAAGGGGGGTGGGCTAACGGGTGTGTTCCTCACCAAGAAGGGGATTCAGGAGTTTTTCCCCATAAAATTTGAATTTTTAAGCCATTTTGTGACTTATAAAAGCCATTTTAACGTCTAGAATTGAGCCCAAAAGCCTCCATTACGTTTTTATGACAAAATGTATGTTTAAATTTATATTCCAGGGTGCAAGGAGGGGACTTGTCCTATATAGCCCCTCTCCCCTTGGAACCACCATGATGATCCTGTATACACTTTGAGATCAGCATTATCTTTAATCTAATATATGCTTTTAAAGACAAAATGTATGGAAGATTGACCTGAGAACTCAAACTCATAGAAGTCCATTGCCTATCCACCATTTTTGAATTATAAAAGAATCTTCATAGTAGCCTAGTCCCAGAAATATTAAATTAATTTGTAGGTAAAAAACCAAAAACTAGATGCTTTTACAAAATTATTATTAAATAAATAAAAGCCCTAAAAATTACAATACACTTATTTAATAGCCATGTTTCTTGTATCCACCATGGTCAAATCCATGATGAGAAGAGCCAAAACCTCCATGTTGTCCACCGCCACCATGATGCAAGCTGCTACTGCCAATCCCTCCTTGACTTCCTTGATGACCTCCACTTCCAATGCCTCCTAGACTTCCTTGATGACCTCCACTTCCAATGCCTCCTAGACCTCCTTGGTGATGACTTCCACTTCCAATGCCTCCTTGACCTGCATGGTGACTTCCACTACCAATGCCTCCTAGATGTTGACTTCCACCTCCAATGCCTGAAGGACCTCCATGGTGACTTCCACTACCAATGCCTCCTAGATGTTGACTTCCACCTCCAATGCCTGAAGGACCTCCATGGTGACTTCCACTTCCAATGCCTCCTTGACCTGCATGGTGACTTCCACTACCAATGCCTCCTAGATGTTGACTTCCACCTCCAATGCCTGAAGGACCTCCATGGTGACTTCCACTTCCAATGCCTCCTTGACCTGCATGGTGACTTCCACTACCAATGCCTCCTAGATGTTGACTTCCACCTCCAATGCCTCTTGAACCTCCCTGATGAAGACCACCTCCACTGCCTAAAGGAAAATAAATGAATGTGAGATAAACAACTTTTAGCGAATTTCCCATATAGGGAATAAGCTATTACCGTAATACTCATGGTAAGACCTGGACCCAGGACCGGTTTACTTTTTTGTTTTGAGGTCCCTAGAGGCCAAAAACACCATCCGTTCAAATTCATATATATATATATATATATGTGTGTGTCCGTTAGCGCGATAGCTCGAGCAAAAATCATCCGTTTTTGATGAAATTTGGTACAAACGTGTAAACCTACGTTTATTCGAACGAGTTCGCGAACCAGCATGATCAGACTATGGGAAGAGGGGTTTATGGGGGTTTTATGGAGTAAAAATTGGGTTTTCCCATTTTTGACCCTAAAAACATCAAATTTAGCAACTTCTTTCAAAACCATTTTGTAGAGCTTAAAAAAAACAAATAATTTAGTATATTAAAGCGTTATTATGCGCCGGATATAATGGCTACGGAGAAAATTCAAAAAATTGTAAATTTAAAATTCTCTTGTTATTCTTATGGAGAAAATTGTAAACTGTTAGTTTGCTTGTTTATGAGCATATTTTGATCAAATTTGGAAAATGCATTAATTTCATACTAAACTATTAACATTTGACAAAAAAAACACCTTTTTACCACCCTCCCTGTTGCAGCAAACCTAAGTACTCGTTAAACTAATGCTATTTAAATAGGGAATAAATGTAATATTTTTAAGGAGACATTTTAGTGTAAATCCAATCAGGCTAATGGAAATTCGCTTAGTCTGCAGGTTTGCTGCGGCGGGGGTATTTAGATTATTTATACACCTTTTAAACCCACCTAGCCAATTTTCAAAGAGTTGTTTAGCTTCCGGATTACTGTATTCTACTTAAAATGGTTTACAAAACCTGCATATATAGTACAGTAATCCTTTGTTGCTGTTTCGGCAACTAGTTTTGGTTCTTCTAATCCATCATCAGGCCTCAAGGTGTCAAGTAAACACTTTATCCAAAGGTTGTCAACAATCAGAGTTCAATAAATCCTACTAATATTATACGACACACGCAAAAATAGAATGTACAAATGTTTACAAAAAACATAAAACACTTGAAGGGACATTGACAAAATCGAACAACTTGGACTGAAGTAAAGTTTAGACCCTAAGAGTCTAATAGTTTGTATAGACTTCACTTCAGCCAGGTCACGTTCGATTTTTTCAATGTCCCTTTAAGTGTTTTGTTTTATTTGTAAACATGTGTCCGTTCTATGTTATCGTGTGTTGTATATGTTTTATTTATTGAACTCTGTTTGTTAGCGACCTTCGAATGAAGTGATATCTTGACAACTTGAGGTCTGATGATGGTTCATATAAGAACAGAAACTAGTTGTCACCTAGCCATGTTATTTTAAATACACTAAATGAATTTCAAAGAGAACCCCTGACCCTTATCCATAGAGTGTGGACTCTTGAGTTGGGATGAAAATAATAAGATTTGGTAGTCATAGCATAATCAGGATTACATACACCATTTAGACTACATTAGTGGTCATAAATTTTACGGTGTGGGAAAGCTCGCCAATTTCCGAGAACTGACTAAAATCACAGAAAACTAAAAATATAGAATTAATCTATATATTAATTTGAAACTGTTTTTCTTTGTCACAGCTATTTTGAGAGAACGGCTGGGCGTAGAAACTCGGTAGAGGTGTCTAAAGAAAGGTCTTGGTCTGTAGATGAGCCATCAAAAGAGAAACATGGTGAATTCCCTTGGGGCTCTGCCCCAGTGGCCTTTGAATTCCCATCCCATGTTATTCTTATGGAGGAAAACGGGGGTTTTGTCACAGCTAATTTGAGAGAACGGCTGGGCGTAAAAACTTGGTAGGGGTCTCTAAAGAAAGGTCTTGGTCTGTAGATGAGCCATCAAAAGAGGAACGAGGTAAATTCCCTTGGGGCTCTGCCCCAGAAGCCTTTAAAGTTGTCTCTTCAGATTTGTTTACATTACGACCATCTATCTATCTATATATTAATAGGCAAGCATGTTTCTTTAAAACCTTTTTTCTTAGCTCGTGTGCGTCGTAGGGAAAATCTATGCATACTGTTAGAAAAATATTTTCCTGTAGGTGTGCAGAATCCTATTATAAATTAAAATAGGCTCAAAGATAAGCACAAAAAATGAATTTGAAATTAACAAAAATTTAACATGGGCTTTATGGGTTGCCATGATGGTGACAAAATAACAACGAAATATAAACAGAAAATCAAAACAATCACATGTTTTATTTACAGAGTGGGGTGAAAAATTGAGAAGTATGTAAAGTGCAATTGGATTTTTTTAGCTAGAAGTGGTTAAGCTGTGGTGGAATATCTTTGAAGATGGACCTTTTTAATACGATCATGTGTTCATACGTGTCAAATCAAAACAAACAAACTGGCATAATATATTCTTGGAATTTGACATACTTAATCTACTTAAATAAAATCACTTAGTCATTAGCTAATCATTAGAGAAAATTATCCAAATCAACCAATGAATAAATTGTTATTTAATTATTGCCTCCAAATTAAGTGATGGTTAATTGCTTGGAAAATAATTAAATTACATATTTTTGTACATATTTATGGTCGAGTTTCGACCACTGGACGACCTCTCGTATGCATAATTCTACACTACTTTTTAATGAAACAGCTGTTAAATATTTAAATTGTGATTTATTGAATTTGTCAAAATGAAGTACAGTATTTGCAATGGGTTTTTCTGATTTTAAAATGGATTTTATTCTGCATCGTGTCATGTTTTGCAATATAATGTTCTATTAACAAATCAGTGGAAAATCCTAATATCACAGTAACTCTTAAAATTATTTCTTTTGGAGTTAACTTATATCTATTGTATGGGTTGGTTTCTGCCTTTTTTACCACTTCTTGGAGATTGTACGTAGGTGATATTCGTTGGCATATTGCATCTGTAGATGAAACTTGGGTTGGTGTAATTATTAGAATGGAAAAGAGCAAGAAATCCTGGACAATTTGATATATGCTGAAAATAAAACTGAATTAACACTGTTCTACATTTCTTGAGCAATCATTGAAATAACCGATTTACAAACAATGGAAACGTAGAAAAAGTCATAGAACACAACCAAGTAGAAGAAATAGAAATAATGTTTTTTTTTTCATTTATAATCGTTATCATAGACAACCTAATGCAGAATGAGAGGGAAAAATTTTTAGAAAACACTAAAAAAACAAGATCAGCTTTTTGAAAAAAGATAAGATATTTACAAAAGATTTTGATTATTTTGGGTAGATTGTGAGTATTTCCATAATCTTTGAGTCGCCTGTAATGCTTTGCAATTGCTCGAATTCGAGCAACAGGTACACTAGTATCTATTATTACTGAAAATTGCAGATTGGTAATGGCACTCCCACTAAATCAATGGAGGACATACAGATTGTCAAGGGGGTTTAAAAGTTACCAAAAAAGCAATAAACACAATTAAAGTGAGACAAACTACTTCAAAAAGCACCTTCATATTTTGCTATCAATATTAACGCTATCCAACAGAGTCAACCGGGTTTACACTGCTCACTTGCAATATGTGAAAAAACAAATTGATTGTTAAAAAGATACACATTCAACTACTGTACTTGTATTGTTTCATGCCATAGGCTACTCATTCATTCATTAGTTTATTTATTTTTATAGATTTTAATACTCTCACCTATATTTAGTGAAAGTCTTAACTTGAAATGTGATTTTTTCCACATTCTCTCTTACACCACTACCTAAAACCTGAAGTCTGTATAAAAAATAGTTTTTTTGTTTTGTATCCTTTTATTTTGAACATTAATTCAGAATAACGTGCAATCATAGTGTTTTTCTACAGGACAGCTTCACATTTTTAAACTTTTTATACAGGATTCACTTATAAGTTTAAGTTGGCCAATAAATAAACCTACCACCACTTCCCAGGTTATGGCTTCCCCCAATGCTCTGGGACCTACGATGGCCATGACCTGCAACGGCAAATGTGGTTAAACATATTTTATTTGATGTATAATTTTTGTTTGTTTTGCTGTTGGATGTGTGACAATATGTTTTATTGTGTTAGTTGTCAATATTTCAACTCACATTTCCACCATTAGTAGATCCTGTAGAATGTATATCAAATGCTATTTTAAGGTTTTTCTTAGTGAGATAACTGTAAGCTTGAACAAGGAAGATTACTCAATAATCTGCTAGACATACTTAAGCCATAGAAACTGTCCACAAAAATAGAGAACGTTAGAGCGACTTTTTGTAGAACAAAAGATAATTCAAGCAAAAACATTAGATAACAATTTGCATCATGATAAATACTTTTACAGTGTTACAATAAGAAAGAGGGGTAAAAGTACTATTCATCTATCTCTATCTCTATATTTATCTAATATATAAAATTCTCGTGTCACAGTGTTTGTCTGCAAACTCCTCCGGAACGACTTCACCGATCGTTATGAAATTTGGTGTGTAAATTCTGTAGGTATGCGAATCGGACGTAAACTATTTCCCGTTTCGAAATTCTTAAAAGGGCTCCGCCCCAGTGGCTCTGGAGTTTCCCATGTTAACCTTATGAGAAATGGAATTAATGAATCTTAACAGCTGTTTCAATTAAACAAGTTGGTTCTGTTCTATGATGTTCAATAGCATTAAAGTTACAAGGATTACCAACAGGGTGCAGCACTATTATTTCTTTTACATTTATGACAACAGCTAATTTGCAACCAAAAGGTGAGTGAGCGTAGCGAACGAACTTCAACCTGGAGGCGAGTGAGCGTAGCGAACGAGCTAACCTGAAGGCAAGTGAGCGCAGCGAACGAGCTCCAACCTAAAGGTGAGTGAGCGTAGCGAACGAGCTCCAACCCAAAGGTGAGTGAGCGTAGCGAACGAACTTCAACCAGGACGTGATTGAGCGATGCGAACGAGATCATCTTGAAAATTAAACGTAACGGTACTTTCTTTCCATCGGTCTGTCTTAGGGGAAACCTATAACTTAGGTGATACGAAGTTCGCCGGGTCAGCTAGTACTATTATAAAATTGAGGTGGTGTCTGTCTGTATGTGCAGCTACCACGACTAAAATACTAAACCGATTAGCCAAAATTAAGCACAAAGATTGTCCACATATCTAGGAATGTCATAGGCCTATTCACTTCCCAGAGTTCTTTTTGGGCTACGCCCCTTGGACGTCCAAAGTTTTGATGTGAGGTTTACAAAAGTAAATTATTAATAATTGGTATCCATGGAAGCATGAGAAAATTCACTATGTTTACCTTTGCATTGAAATTTCAATGACAACAAGCAGAACTGCCAAATGCTTATTTCACAATTTTAGACAGCTGATCCAAAAAAATTCAGAAGCTAGTTTCATATAGAAGGTCTCTGGCTTTAGTAGTGAGTAGTAACATAGACTAACCAAGTATGTTTTATCTATGGTAGTATTTACCACGTAAAAACCTATCATTATCATATCAATATTTTTTTATAACCAATACATAAAAATTTAATGAACTGAAAAATAAAATAAAAAAACACTACCTAAATAACTATGAATCGTTTTTCAGCAGAATCAAAGGTTTTCTTCTGACGTGCACTGTATCCATAATTTAGCCTATATGTAATTTTACTGTCGTTTAATTTTGATTGGGAAGCTATACTTTCTTTTCACTTGAACCTTCACTTGTTGATTTAGTCGAAAAATTCATGTGAATCAACAAAGTATCAGCATTATAATGTGTTTATATTGTACACAGGTTCACTTTTGTATTGGAAGGTAAATTAATTGTTAGATTTTATATAAACATGTTATAAAATAATAAATTAATAAACTACTATCTACCTCCATGTTCCACACTGGATCCATAAGGCCGGGCAACGGCCAACCCTACTGCCAGAGACAGCAAAACCTGGAAAACATAGGAAAATCATGGCGATATTGCTTAGTTGTAATGATTAAAAAGTACGGTAGCTGATGAATACTCTTTAAAATGATTCTTGGTTTTGTAATATCATAAACGAAAAATCTCAATAATCTAAAGCAAAGTCTGGAAAATTTTTGTTGCGTGTTACATGCCTGGATGAAAATCCTCCATCTGACATTTGCTAAAAAAAATTAACACGAAAAGTTGAGGTGTGGGATGCCGATGTCCTTTTTTGACATTTCGGACATGGCACAAAACGATTAAATATTGTGACCTGAACACAGTCTCAAACCATAATGAAACTGATTCCATTAGAACAACGAGATTTTGATGTTAATTTTCATATATAAAACATTATCATAGACTAACCAACCTAGACTTCTCATCCCATTGTAAATTTTGAAGCACGTTTTTCGTGTCTAGTTCATGTACGTGACACATGGGCGCTAGTGTCGACGAAACTTTGTTTATATTATTTTAGGGTTAATTTCTTGATTTGTGCTTTACTGTTTGGTTATATAACTAGGGGACAGGTTATTGTTTATGATTAGATCGTATTATTTGGTTAAACGAGGTTTTAAATGGCTGTAATAACGGGAAACAAATTGTAAACAAAACACGACCTCTACAGAAAACCGTACAGAACTAACAATAAAATTGTCTTCAGCTGTTCCATAAGGATGAGAAATCTACTAAGGGAGTATGTTTTATCTATGACATTATCTAGCTTTTAATATCTTACCATAAACAGTATTTGAAAAACAACTAATTTTGAACTAGATATTGGCGGCAGAAGAAATGACATGTATATAAAAATCAGCTGGCTTGATAAATTCAGAGAAAAAAACTAAAAATCCTAGTGGGGCGGGGTACGAGTTGCGTACACTACTTTACCGCCCGGTTTTTAATTACTAATAATCACAGCTCAAAACTTCTAAGAGAGGTTATGATTTCGTTTATAGCCTCTCATTGCTACTGACATTGATGCAACGACTCATTGTACCTCGTACCAATTACTAAATAATTGCACCAATCGTTATCAATTAAATTGGTAAACAGCTGATTAGTTGAAGTTCCAAGCATTGCAATTTTACTTCTTTCTCTCAATCCTTGAACCTCTTTGGTAGTTTGTGTTGTTAAGTAAAACTTTTAAACTATGCTGTTATGTAAGTAAACAATGATGTTATGTGAAACTTTTCAATTCTAAGAAGTGAACTGAAACGGCTACTTTAAAAAACGGTCGTAGGTAAAGTAGTGTATGTATAATATATACGCAACTCACGTAAATAGTCTATACGCCACACTACACTGTTTTAAAGAACTTACCACGCAAAGATTTAGTTCAGAAAACAGCTGTTTGCCGCCAGCTTAATCAAATGGGGGTTCATTACGTACTACTGTACTGTGAGTTTTTACTGGACACCAACCAGCTGATTTTATTTGACAATGAGTGATTATAAAAAAAATAACCTCTCTTTGAGGTTATAAGTAGTGAATGTTAGTCCTTTGGTCGGTGGGTATATATAAGGATATGTACAGATTTGTTATTGTTCAGTTAGCTTACAGTAGTAGGCTAAGGCCTAAAATATCGTACGTCGCGTCCATAATGTGATTACCGGACTCGTATGGTAACGACCACAATCGTCCGGTAAACACCTATTTTCAGGACTAGTAAATATACAGGGTTATTACAAATGATGGACCCATTTTTAATGCTTTATAATTTTTATAATATTAAACTTACCGCTATAAAATACGCATCAAACGAAAAAGCAAAAGACGGCTTCAATGTAGACAAAACATAGCAAACATTAAATCTCACACTTTTTTATTTTAAGCCAAATTTAGGCTACATTTATTGAGTATTTGCAAGATATGCGTAATAGTAGATTGTAGGAAATTTTATTCTCTTTCGGAATATTACCTTCCACTTTGGTCGATTTCCTCACCATTTAAAAGTTATTTGCAAAAACGTCAAGTAACCTCCAAATTTCTAGTGGTAAAAAAGTTGGAGATTACTTTTTAACTTTGTACAATTAAATCTAAAGTTCTGCTGGATCGATTTTGTTAAATGATGTGTCTTTGGAAGGCATAAACTCTTTGAGTTGCTTTTTCGTTTGATGCGTATTTTATAGTGGTAAGTTTAATATTATAAAAATTATAAAGCATTAAAAATGGGTCCATCATTTGTAATAACCCTGTACCATAGATAAAACATACTCCCCCAATTTAAAACATACTTGTGTTGGTTAGTCTATGCCTGTACTATAACGCAATCGTTGCATATACTACTATAACAGCTGATTGTTGCATTGTTATTTCATTGATTCTTCTTTTTAAAATGTTGTTGTTCACAATTTAGTTAAAGTGTGTTCCTTATGTCATTTGTGTGTTTCTTAAGTTATGTGCCTTATCTGTACCATTAATATTAGAGAGTAAAGAGGTATACTCATTTCATAATCATTATTTTTAGAGAGCAATTAGGAAGTCTATTCAGTGTATAGTCAATGGTTTTAGTTATGGCGCGTCGTCGATTATTTTTGCTTATCCATTCGTTAGAGTCCCCACACAGTCCGTTCTCCTCGATATGATTGTACGGTAGTAATTAATTGTAATCAGTCGTTTGTCTAGTATATTGCCTGCCACAAACGTGTAATGGAGTCGTCTGTTATCTAGGAGTGTATCGATACTAAATCAACTTAGAGTTAATGTAATTATATTATTTGATATGATTAACAAACCTATCTATGTTGTATGCATTATTTAGTTGGTTTTATTCGTAGGTTAATTGCCAATCTTTACACCAATGTTATGTCTCTCTAAAATACAATTCCAAAACCTATAATAGTGGTGCGAGTTCTGTATAAATGTATAAAAAATCTATTAGCAGGTTTTTTTTAATTTTGCACGTAAGAGTAGTTTAATTTGAAAAATATTTTTACCTACGACCGTTTTTTTTAAGGTAGCCATTTCAGTTTAGTTCTTCTTAGAATTGAAAAGTTTCACTTAACAGCTGTTTCCTTTCATATCAGCATAGTTTCATTTCATATCAGCATAGTTTTTCTCATATCAACACGGGTAACGGACCAATGAGGTTCAAGGGTTGAGAGAAAAGAAGTACAATTGTAATACTTCGAACGTCAACTAATAAGCTGATCAGCTGATCAGTTGACAATTTTTAATTGTTGATCCGGCTTGTTCCTGTTGATACTCGCGTATTCTTAACCTAAGTTGGTGGAAGTTAAATGAAGGTTGATTTTAAAATATCAATTAGTGAAAGTGATGTTGACGAGATAGAAATGAGAGCACAAACTGTTTGTGCTAATCTTTTGCCACCAAAATCAAAACAAAGGTACCATATGCAATTACATACCAGCAATTCATTAAATGGGCGAAACAAAATAAGGTTAAATTGATAAATGAAAATGTTCTTCTGGTTTATTTTGAAAACCTCTTAACCACTTTTTCACCCAACTCGTTGTGGACCACATATTCGATGCTGAGATCTAACTGTAAATTAACTGTTTCACTATATTATTCAGTTGTCCAAAAATATATGCAATATTTCCCTAATTGTACCTGTTACAGTATTTATGGTAAGAATTCTGCTAGCAGAACCTATTGCCTGAAAAAGTAACGTATTATTTAGCAAAGTTTTACAAACACGTAATTACATGAAATCAGCTGATTATACAATAAGTCGTTGCATCACTTTCAGTGACAATGACAATAAACGAAAACATAACCTCTCTAGGAAGTTATGAGTAGTGATTGTTAGTAATAAAAAACCAGATTTTTAGTAATTAAAAAACGGTCGTAGGTAAAATAGTGTACGCAACTCGCGTTAATAGTCTTTACGACACTCGTAGAAGTTTTTAAGGCACTCGCCAAGGCTCGTGCCTTAAATTTTCTACTCGTGCCGTAAAGACTAACTTAACGCAATCGTTGCATAAACTACTATTACTTTATTTTAATATTTTGATACTTATATTTGTTTTTAATTAAACCCCTTTTGCTAAATCAACGAACATAATTATATTAGTCTTACTTACAATGTTTGTGTATCCTATCATGGTCTGAAATGAACTAATAATAATTAGCTGGCATTGTTATCTTTTATACTTTAGGGAGTATCGCTGACCCTGTCAATATCTGCTGTCAGTGATTGTAGCTTCATCGAATTTGCTAACATAACAAGCTCTTTGAACCTTCGTAGAATCAACAGCTAGAAAACCCGTGTTTATGTTTGTGTGATGTTTATTTGTAAATTAATGATCGTTTTGGAAATTTAATGACGTAACATTATTGAAATTTATTACATAACAATATTTTTTTAAATTTGAAGAAAAACTTATAGATTTTGAACTAGTAAAAAAACAACTAACAAGTAAGAAATATTTTACAGTAAGTTAAATAACGTAAGTGCACAATTTCTATACTCCATCAAAAATTAAAATATGATTAAAACTGTAAACGCCCAACTCCATACACTTACACTAAATTGAAAATGTATTCATTCGAGTTCTCTCTTTTAGTTTCTGGCGGGGTTTTAAGTACTGCACTGACATAGGTAATTGCTGATAGGGCATTGGTTTTTAACACGTCTTCCTACAGGTGATTTTTTAATAACATTTTTATTGAGGTTCCTGTTTAATAATTTTCAGCTCTTTTAGAGAATAACCCTATGCTATTACTGCAGGTCTCATGGTAAGACCTGATTCCTGGACCGATTTAATTTTTTCGTTATGATGTCCCAAGAGGACAAAGATACCATTCATCCTACCTAAGTACTCATTAAACTTAGTGTTTTTAAAATAGGGAATAAATCTGACAATTAATTTTAAAGAAATATTTAAGTGAAAATCCAATGGAAATTTGCTTAGTCTGCAGGTTTGCTGCGGTGGGGGTATTTTATCTCGTCTGTGTATAACCTTATATACTTTAAATGCCTTATATACACACTTCGCAGGGTTTAATTTACAATGTATCTGAAACTATCGACAAAACACTACAGTGTGGTGTAGTCAATACTTTTACCTACGACCGTTTTTTAAAGTAGCCATTTCAGTTCAGTTCTTAGAATTGAAAAGTTTCACTTAACAGCTGTTTACTTTCATATCAGCATAATTTCATTTCATATCAGCATAGTTTTTCTCATATCAACACGGGTAACGGACCAATGAGGTTCAAGGATTGAGAGAAAAGAAGTACAATTGTAATACTTCGAGCGTCAACTAATCAGCTGATCAGCTGATCAGTTGACAATTTTAATTGTTGATCCGGCTTGTTCCTGTTGATACTCGCGTATTCTTAACCTAAGTTGGTGGAAGTTAAATGAAGGTTGATTTTAAAATATCAGTTAGTGAAAGTGATGTTGACGATATAGAAATGAGAGCACAAACTGTTTGTGCTAATCTTTTGCTACCAAAATCGGAACAAAGGTATGCAATTACATACCAGCAATTCATTAAATGGACGAAACAAAATAAGGTTAAATTGATAAATGAAAATGTTCTTCTGGTTTATTTTGAAAACCTCTTAACCACTTTTTCACCCAACTCGTTGTGGACCACATATTCGATGCTGAGATCTAACTGTAAATTAACTGTTTCACCATATTATTCAGTTGTCCAAAAATATGCAATATTTCCCTAATTGTACCTGATACAGTATTTATGGTAAGAATGCTGCTAGCAGAACCTATTGCCTGAAAAAGTAACGTATTATTTAACAAAGTTTTACAAACACGTAATTACATGAAATCAGCTGATTATACAATAAGTCGTTGCATCACTTTCAGTGGCAATGACAATAAACGAAAACATAACCTCTCTAGGAAGTTATGAGTAGTGATTGTTAGTAATAAAAAACCAGATTTTTAGTAATTAAAAAACGGTCGTAGGTAAAGTAGTGTACACAACTCGCGTTAATAGTCTTTACGACACTCGTAGAAGTTTTTAAATTTTCTACAACTCGTAGCTGGAGACAGCAGTAGTGTGAACAAAAGTTGACACCACATTCCATAGTATTGTAGGGTTGTTGTAGGTGTGAATGAAGTGTAACGACTCCAGATGTCCTGCGTGATGGGGAGGGGAGGGGAGAAGGTACACAGGACCAGGACTCGTTCAGTCACTTCAGTGTTCAGTGTTCGTTCAGTACCGTCGCGTGATCGTCAGCGGCAGGTGTGTGTGTGTTCGTACCTGTAGGAGCTCGACTCACGTTGCTAGGTAACCGATCAACAATGACTCATTGTTAGGATTAAGCCTAAGTGATTTAGTTTTACGTTAAAACTTAGATTAAAGTTTAAAAATTATATATGTATATAGTTTTTGAGATCATCTGAAAAACGCATTTAAGTTTCTGTTCGGTTTGAAGAATGAGTTGTATATTTTCTTAAAATCGGGTCTTCTGGGTTCTACCGCGTCATTGACAGAACATTTATTTAATTTTCTTATTCCAATTATTTAAAATGGATAATAAGCTAATAGAAAAATACATATTTGTATACTAGGCTACATTACCAGGTTTTTAAAACAAATAGTGAAGCGCAGACTAATACCTACCCTAAAATGTAGAAAAATAATTAGTTGAAATTAACGTACCCAAAAGGAAGCAACACATTACCACTAAGCATTTTATTAGATTTTATTTGATAATCTAGGAATTATAAATTTAAAAAAATATTTGTAATGCGTTAAATATACGAATTTTAGCCTTTAAGTTTGAACCACGAGAGAGTGTTAGTGTATTTTAGAGATTTGTTTTGTAGTGTAGAATAAGAATAAAGGCTGTCCTAACCTTACGTCCATATTTAACAAGACAGCGTTTTAATACAATCAATAGCTTACTTGTTATGATTTAAATATGTCCTCCTTATGGGGTTTGCATTCTTATTGATCCTTACATAGTTTGAAAAGATGTTCAATATTTTTTATGTTCATTTCACGTAGATAGAATTTTTATTTTATTGTTAAGTTTATTTATTCATTCTTGACAAATAATTAAACAAAACAAACACTATTTATAAAGTATTTTCGTCTTTATGGTATGGTTGCCAGAGAGTTTAGAGTGCACTATACAATTTATTTTACAAACACCTCAATATCAGCATACTCAAATATATGCGGACATGAATACTAGCCAAAACCAGCTTTACATTTTAAAATAGGACTAAGTGTAAATGTTTTTAAAACTGGTAAACCATCCTCAAAGTACACTCATTTAAAATTATCGATGTGGCTGAGAAAAGGCTGATAAAGATGTGCAATAGGCTCATACATTAAAAACTAGTGCAATTTATCTCGTAGTAGATTTATGGAAACATTCATTTTGAAAAAATTTTGAACACAATTTTGAAGCTCGGTTATTGTGTCTAGTTCATGTCCGGTAACACTGATCGCAGGTGTCGACGACTTTTTGTTTCTATTATTTGAGGGCTTATTAAATGATTTGTGCTTTACTGTATTGTTTTATAACTAGGGGGCGACGATATTGTTCATGATTAGATCGTTTTATTTGGTTAAACAAGTTTTGGTTTGCACTGAAATAGCAAGAAACAGATTGTAAACAAAACACAACCTTTACAGTGGACCGGACAGAACTAACAATAAATTTGGCTTCAGCTTTTACAAAAGGATGAGAAATATAAGGGAGCATGTTTTATCCATTCTATAACTATCCACTTAACAACTATCCACTTTCACTATTTGCATCCAAAATAGCATTATTTAATAAAAAAATATTTTCAACAATAAAATATTTACATTAAAAAAAGGCAGCAAAATATGAACAACAGATTATCTCTTTACAATCAGTTTAACCAACATATTTTCACGCGTTCAGGAAATAACAGCTTTGACTATCTGTACAACTAGATATCAGTATCCAATAATCAATGATATAAGTGAAGAGAATTAATAAACTAACTCGAGCGCTACGGAACGTAAACACTTTCTAAACTGTCTTCAGCTGATCCACAACGACATCTGTGAGGCATTATTTTAACACATGCAATAACACAGTTTGATATGATAAATAGCATAAAGTGGTTCATCACTAGGGCTTCAATTTTCAACTAGCTCAAACTTAGCAACCGAGGCGAAGAAGAGGTTAGAAAATAAGTGAAGGTAAAAAAGATACTTTGGGCCCTTGCGATGAGCTATATTTTTATTCATAATATATTTTTAGCAATTCTTTATGCTAACTGATTTACAAAATGAAAAAAATTCTTCTCCAATCCAACACTTTCTGACCATTTGAAAATGAGAAATGCCTTAGATGTTTCTCCACCAACGCAATTTCAAGGTCAAACTATCGGAATTATTATGTATTTCAATTAGAAGTACCACTGTAGTAAAATACATGGTGTAGTGTAACGCTACCAACAAACACAAGTACATTTTAAAAACAATATATATTGTGTAGCAAAAACTATTTCCAAAATAAAATCCTCGGACTAAGTCTAGAAAGAGAAAAATAGGCAAATCTGACCAAATCGACTTTTAGTTTTTTTTACAACTTTACCTTACATGTGGCACAAATATATATATTTATAACAGTGAACAAATAACATTACATTACAAACGTCGTTTTCAAAGCTTTTGTGCCTCTCAGAATTTATATCACCACGAGAAGTATGACGCAAACAAATTAGACATTTTTTTATATAACAACTATTTCTTTCTAACTAGAATGACTCGAGAGGAAAATAACTCAAACGAGAGCGCGTCTGTGGCCCGGAGGTCAATGTCGCTATTGTTGGGTGTGCGGTGACGTAGAACCGATTGTTGTACTGCAATACCGACTGCGGTTAGATTGTGGTTACTGTCAGACGCTGCTAATTAATCATGCTGTCAAACTGTTTGGAATATCTTTGCGTCATTTTTTAAAAATTCGAAAATATTATGGCGGTTATGTGTTATCTACTTACATTGGTTTTGCGAACGTGCCATTAAGACATGTAAACAAGAACAAACAAGTAAACAAGGCTGAAATATTAATTTTGAAATCTGGAAATACGTTAAAAAGGCTGTAAACACGATATATAAAATAATAGATCAAATTTCCTAAAATATATTTTACCTACGACCGTTTTTTAAAGTAGCCATTTCAGTTCAGTTCTTAGAATTGAAAAGTTTCACTTAACAGCTGTTTACTTTCATATCAGCATAGTTTCATTTCATATCAGCATAGTTTTTCTCATATTAACACAGGTAACGGACCAATGAGGTTCAAGTATTGAGAGAAAAGAATTAAAATTGTAATGCTTCGAACGTCAACTAATCAGCTGATCAGTTGACCAATTTAATTGTTGATCCGACTTGTTCATGTTGATACTCGCGTATTCTTAATTAAGTTGGTGGAAGTTAAAGCAAGGCAGATTACCCGATTTAAAAATGTCAAGTGAAAGTGAAGTTGATGTAAAACTTTTGATTATCCTTCATTCATAAAAACAATATTGTAAGAAATACTTTAATTTTGTTTGTTTTGAATTAAAATTTTGTTAATTAACTGTGTCAATATGTTATTCAGTTGTCCAAAAATAAATGAAATATTTGCCGAAATGTACCTGATACAATATTATTTATGGTAAGAACGCTGCTAGCAATGTAATATTTAACGAAGTTTAACAAACACGTAATTACAGGAAATCAGCTGATTAAACAACAAGTCGTTGCATCACTTTCAGTGGCAATGACAATACACGAAAACATAACCTCTCTAAAAAGTTATCAGTAGTGATTGTTAGTAATTAAATCCAGATTGATAGTAATTAAAAATCGGCCGTAGGTAAACTCGCTAAGGCTCGTGCCTTAAATGTGCTTAAATTTTCTACCCTTGTCGTAAAGACTCACTTAACGCAATCGTTGCGTAAACTACTATATCACCCTTGAAGTCTAGATTGAGACACTTTTTAAATGAGTTTGTGTCCGATTTATTGCGTTTAATTATGTAGTACCAACTTCAAAATTGTTAAGACAAAATATGTAACAAACGTATTTGAAGGTAATTGTTTTAACACTGTTATTATAACCGAACTAAAGCAAACCGCGGAATTCCCTTTAAAAGAGAGAAACGTTCAGAAGAAATCAGCACAGTAGGCCTACTACGTTAACAGAAAATGCAACACACACATAAACAAGCTCAATCTATATATATAAAAGGCAAAGCCCTCACTGACTGACTGACTGACTGACTGACTGACTGACTCACTCACTCACTCATCACTAATTCTCCCACTTCCCACTTACCTAAGAGGCTGAAATTTGGTACACTGATTCTTTAGGCATTAAATAGGAAAACTAAGTGGTTTTTATTCTGATCGGACTCTCGGGCTCCGCCCCAGTGGCTCTGGAGTTTCCCATGGTAACCTAATGAGTACTCATATTTAAATGGAATTAATGAATCATAACAGCTGTTTCAATTAAACAAGTTGGTTGTGTTCTATTATGTTCAATAGCATTAAAGTTACAAGGATTACCAACAGAGTGCAGCACTATTATTTTTTTAATATTTGACAACAGCTAATTTGAAACCAAAAGGTGAGTGAGCGTAGCGAACGAGCTAACCTGAAAGCAATTGAGCGCAGCGAACGAGCTCCAACCGTAAAGGTGAGTGAGCGTAGCGAACGAACTGCAACAAGACGTGTGAGCGCAGCGAACGAGCTCCAACCTAAAGGTGAGTGAGCGTAGCGAACGAACTTCAACCAGGACGTGATTGAGCCATGCGAACGAGCTCACATATGAAGTTAAACGGGGCAAAGCCCGCGGGTACAGCTAGTATTTTATAATTGGACAGATCTACTAAAAACACTGACATGTTTCAAGTCAGTGCTTGAACCGCGTATTTTAAAGTAAAAAGAATTATAACACGTACAAGTACAGAATTAGGCATTAAATCCCAATGTATTTATGATATACAGGGTGTATATATGTATTTATGACACTTAAGGTGTCTCAAATTGACTATTGAAAAACAGCTTAACGTACAAGGACGAAATGAAATTATTTCTCACTAAAATCGACCCCAAGGATTAACGTAAAAATAGTTTTAAAATTTTCCAATACAGGGTGTGCCAAAAACTGAGGGTCACTAGCTCGAATCTCGGAATTTTCAAATGTAAACAAATATAATGTTATACATAATTTTAAAGGTACTTAGTGGACAAACATTTTGGCGAAAACAGAAATCAAAATCTTTCCGTTTCGAAATGGCGGCAGTTTCAAAT